TCAGGCATATGGATATTTTTAGTTCTGTTAAAAGACAGTGATTTCGGCTAATTAAAAACTAAACACAGAAGTCATTAAAAGAGTCCATTAAAACCAAAACTCTGGCTTAGAATTTCAATACATTTCATGATACAGAAGTAGCAATTTAATGGTGTACAGGAATTTTGCAGAGAAGTCTCCATTTCTGAACTATAACCTGGGGTGCAGTTTGTTCTCTAGATTGCAACTCTGAGAAACTGGGATTTCCCTGCACTACCAGTACTAAGAATAAAACAAGTTTGTTGACACACAGAGGGTTGGCAAGAACTTTCTTCCAGTTAAGAAATCTAGCAGCTTAACATGATGCCATCAGTGACAGACAAGAAGGAAACATGCAGAGAAATAGAAACATATGTAGCTTGAGACTCTACTTGTATCAGCTGCATCTCACGCTCTTTGGAATCACTGGTGAAGTGACTCAGGGATTTTTGCATAACTATTAGGCAATGTGCACAGCACCTGACAGTGCCTCACTGCTATGTAACCAGTGATTCAGTGAGCAAACAGAAGGGCAGGAATGCACACCACGCAGCACGGCAGAAAACAAAGCTTCTGATACAGCTTTCCTGTCCTTGCCTCGCTCCCGTGTCAAGGAGGCAGTCAGCAGGTATGTCCACCTGTCCACCACTGCTTCCAAATGAGATCAGCCACCTCCAAAAGTGGGCAGTGCATACAATGCATGAGTGATTTCACTCTATTGACATCATATTGACATCATGCAGGCAATAAGGGGTATTTTTAGATGAAGCCATTTTTTCCATTCCCTCCCAATATTTTCTCATGGGTTTAAAGAAGAAACAGCAGGGAAACAGTGATGCTGATGGTTTATTTAATTTTTCCTTCCTCTTGGAATCATGGTACTGTCAAAACAAAATGCACCGAGAAAGAGAATGAGCGATTTATTCCGTTCTTGTTACGTCTCCAGACCCTTGGAGGTTGAGGAACAAATTGATTTGTCTCTATTTCTGCAACTGAAGCAAGGAAAGGAGTGACTCAACACCTTCCAAACAAGCAGCATTTTCCAGCAGGTTGAGCCCTGTTCTGCACACAAAACTTGCCTTTAAAGCAGTGAAGGAACTGTGTGTAACTTCAGCTGGGCCACTCATGTACAGAAACACTGCTACACCCCAATAAGCAGATGCAGAATTACAGTCACAGCTGCATTCTGAGCAGAACAAGTTGGATAATGGGATGCTAAGCTGCTAATTAAATTGCTAATGATTTATTTTTAATGCTATTGCAGAATTTTGCCATCTTTCTTTCAGCAACAACAACAGAAAAAAATCCTGTAAGTCTTAAAAATTGTGTAACTGTGTTTTGCTAACAGTGAGACCTCTGAGTACGAGCTGCATGTGAGCAGTTGTCTTGAGAAGGACACCGATGTGGAGATTTACTGGGAGCTCATTTACTGACCAGCTATTTCTCCTAACTTCATGTACTTTCATACATTTTTCCTTCATTTAAATGCTCACAAAGACCCCTGTATGGTGTCTGCAGCAACACCCACTGTTGGTAGAAGCAGATAATAAACTGACATATGTCATGGTGTGCTGCTATAGCTGCATTTACAAAAAGTAATAGCAACAGTACAATTTTATTTTTATTGTGATAACTGTGGTGAAATTTACTGCAGTGTAAGTACTTTATTGTTTCATTATGCCAGATTAGCTGAGGGAGGTAATTATAGCCTTGACATGAAAATGCCTTTAATGTTTTCATTTCAATTCTGCAGTTTGTAATATGCAGATTACAGCATTATCATAATTCCATATTGTTACCTGTACAATTACCTGGCAGAACATTTGCTTCAGGATAACGGAGCTAATTTCTAATGAATGACTTCACCAAGTAGCTGAACTCATCCAGCTCTTGGGTAAATAGTGAGGGTAAATAACAAGAGCCTATTGCTCTTGTTATGTTCAAGTATTTGTGCAGGTACACATTCCTTAAGGCCAGGCAGTTGTAGGACAAATGGAACACTACCAATTATGTACTCGCATCTCATCAGTAATTGAGTGCCTTCTTGTGAATTTTCCAGACAGGCACCAATCTGTAATATTCATTAACTAATGAGATACTGTGTTTATGTACAAATACATGTATACAACCTACACACACATATCTGACATTATTTCATACACCAAAAATACTTACATTATGTTTCTTAACACTGTCCAACTTCAGCGACCTCTTAGCTCTGCACAATGAAAATACAGGCAAGTTTTACGGTCGTCAACGCACAAAGCTTCCAGGCAGTAAGGTTTATCATCTCTAATTTCAGTGACATTTACCTTTCTTGTATATGGAACTTTTTTTTTTTATGCTACACAAGAAAAATATGATCTCAACCAAAGCAAATATATTAAGTAATTAAAATACACTGTACAAAAACATCGCTTGTTTAGAAAGATTAAATGTTTCCATAGGAAAATCCAATTCTCCACTTTCATACTAGAGATAAAAATCAAGGCACTGAGGTGAATTTCACAGGATGCCAAATATACACTTGTCCCCTAAAAGCCATAAACAATGAAAAAATGCAAAAGCATTATTATTTACATACCTTCTGAGCAAGGGTTGAAATCATTTTTCCTTTAGTAGAATTATTAGGCATTTAAAACGCAGGTACAGCCAAGGTGAAAAAAGTGGTTCTTCCCATCATTTTAGCTCTTAACATGATTCAGTGCTACCAGACTATGACTTAACTGGGGAACAGATGCTCTATGTCTTTACAGGTCCCCAAACCATAAGAAACTATTTTCTAGTCTTCTCCACTATACTGATTCAGGAGCACGCCAAGCTCTCTCTGCAAAATCTGCTCTGCTGAACTGGATGCCCAGCTGTTAATGGCAATGCTAGGAGAGGAAAGCTGAATATTTATAATACTTTATATCGTACAGCTGTCTTCTAAAGAGCAGTCATCAAAATTTTATTGAATGCAGACTAAATGCTCAAAGGAAAGAAAGGTCAACATAAATTAAGACTATTTTTCCCAGAGACAACTGAAACTTTTAAAGTACATTCTTAAATCTTAATGGTTTAAAGCATTACATAAAACAATGAAGAAAAAAATGTAAAATCTTTGTAAGAACAGTCCCCAAGGAATATATACTATATCAATTTAAAGAAGATTTAGAAATGCATTACATTTCAAGACCTTAGCACAGTTTTTATCTTGGGAAAGAACGTACTGTAAGGAATTAAGATGACCTCATTCCAAACAGATCCTCTTTTAATTTCTGGTACCACTCCAAAATAGCAAATTTAAGTGCTGGAAAAATTGAATGAAAAAACATCTATGAAATATAACTCAGGTGAGGGTCTTTTATGTGTATGAGATTATAATGATCTCTATTACAAAGAGGAAAAGAGGAGTATTCTGTCTTTTAAAAAGCCAAATAAACAGGTAACACATTTAAAACAGTGACTGAAACTCTTGCCAAAGGGCAGTCAAAGCTGTAGCAGTTTGATGAAATTCTTTACAATGTATTTCTTTATTTAATACCAACCCACGTTGCTTAAGGAATACAGACTCCATTACATCTTCTGCTTTGGTGGCAGCAGGGAAACATATTTAATAATAGGCCTACTCTGAAAGGCTGCTCTAGGGACCGACGCATTTGCATGTTACGCTAAGGCATGTTATGATGGAAGTTTTTATGACAGACTTCCAAAAGAGCTGGAAGCCAAAGTAAAGGAGAATCTAGGCCCGACATCGCTGCAGGAAGGAGATAAATGAGAAACTATGTGAAAATCATGCTAAATTATAAATTGGAAAATTTCTTAGGGAGAAAGCTGTGGACCGGTGGAGACTGCGTTATTTAAAGCCTGTCAAATATTGTGTACAGCAATAGAGGTGACGACAGTCCCAATTGCCCTCTACTGACTTGCAAAACCCTGCGAACACCCAAAGCCACGATGCTGAAGCAGCAGCCCCAATCTGGACAAGCACTTCTGCTGCAAGGAGCCGTAGGGGGCAGCTTTGGCCGCAGCAGGTCGGCTTAGCCCTGCTTGTCCCAAGGTCAGATCCTGTGCTACTCAGCAGCCCGGTTTGCCTGTGGGCTTCTTTGTAGAGATTGTCTCCCTGATTCTATAATGGGAAAAGTAAAAAAGAGCTCCTGGCATCTGCTGTCTGCTCAGAACAAGTTAAAATTTGTGCTTAATCTATGTGGACTCCTTGGCTGGGCTCACAGAAATAAAACTGATCCAAGTTCAGTTTGGTTTATCTTTTTTATATGACTGGAAAAGCCTTGCTGTGGCTCTGGATGAGAACCCAGTGTCAGCTTTGAACAAGAACGGGAGGCAGAAAGATAACGCATGTGAGATCATGATACCAATAGCTTATTTACCTCTGCTTCCTACACTCAGATCGGTTCAAAATCACATAATGGCATTTATTTTACTCTGTATGGTTCAGGAAATATGATGGCATATCTTTATAGCTAGCAAGGAACGCGTTGCTCACGTTTCTCAGGTTAAAGCTGTGTATTACCACTAGTGTATTGATAATCTACCTTTCCCGGTCGTATTTTCAGTTTCTCACTAATATCCTGTGACTTTTACTCGCTCGCTTTGGATTTTGGGTCCCTTCCAACCCAAGCGGTTCTACGGTGCTAAGATTCTTTCGTTAAAAATACCCTCGGGATACAGCAGCCCGCTGTGAGGCCGTTTCAGCCGGCTCCCTCCCGCGCCCTCCTCAAGACAGAGCTCAGAACCGAACCCGCCCTTCTCCGCACAGCGCCTGCCGCCCGCCCGCCTTTCTCCTCAGCGCGCCCCCCGCCAACGGCCGCCCTCAGGGTGGGCAATGGCGCCCGCGCGCCGCTACGTACGACATCGCGGCGGTTCGAACGGCTCCCGCCGCCTCGCGCGTCCCCGCCCAGCGCCGTGCAGCAGCCTAAGGCCGCCGGCTGGAAACGGCGCCGATGGGGCGGGGCGGTGGAGCCGTGTGCCTCGGGCCGGGGTGTTCGGGCTCTGTGTGAAGGGAGGGGCCGGGGCTGCCCTGCCCGCCCTGCCTCGCCGCCGCGGGGAGGTTCGGCCGAGCAGGTTGGTTCCGTCCTGTGGGAGATCGGGGGTTGAACGTTTTCCCTGTGGGGGCGGGTTGTCGATAATGGCTGAAGGAGCGGGGGAAGGCGGGCGGGAAGGCCCGAGCGCGGCCGGGGAGCGCGGAGCCCCGCTGCCCCTCAGCGGCGTTGGCTGTTTGCTGAGCTCCTCCTCGGCTTTCACCTGTTCCCGTTGTGTGTGCGTGTAACGCTGGTGCTTAACGACACTGACGGCGTCTGTAGGAAGCAGGCTGTATCGCCGTTCCCGGTGGGGTCCTTCGGATGCCGATGTCGTATTGAAGTGTCAGGCGGGCGGGCTGTGTGTTACAGATAGGGCACTTCATCCATGATAAGCGATTATTATCTTTCTTTCTCAAGAGTAAAAGAGCCGTATAACTCAATGCTGTGAGTGATTTAGGCCCCTGGAATAAGAATCTAATGAGTCCTGAAGGGGACCCTGCGATGCTGTTGTTGCTGGACTTGAGGTGTTCAATTTGTTCTGCTGGAAGATATTTTCTGAAATCAACGCTGGGTAAAATAATCTGAGAGGCTGTTAGAGCAACAGTGCACCGTGATGGAGAGTCCCTCTGTGACGGCCTTCTGAAAGCCTTCATCACCCCAGGCAGGAGCAGAAAGCTGCTGTTGGAGTTTGCTGGCTGCCTGTGAGCAAACAACAGTACTTACGGCTTGGAATTGCTTTAATTCATAAAAAATACAATTAGTGATTTTTTAAAAAATTCTTTTGCAGTTATATTAGCAAATATATAGTGAACTATATATATAGTGAACTATAGTTATATTAGTTCTTAAAAAATTTGATAGGACAAGGGGGAATGGTTTTCAAGTGAGACAGGGGAGGTTTAGGTTAGATATTGGAAGGAAGTTTTTCACCCAGAGGGTGGTGAGGCACTGTTCACAGGCTGCCCAAGGAGGCTGTGGATGCCCCATCCCTGCAGGCATTCAAGGCCAGGCTGGATGTGGCTCTGGGCAGCCTGGGCTGCTGGTTGGCGACCTGCACACAGCAGGGGGTTGGAACTGATGAGCGTTGTGCTCCTTTGCAACCGAGGCCATTCTGTGATAAACACCACATAGCATTCAGTGTTTTAAAAAAAATGATACAGTTGTTGATTTCATACTTTTTCTCTGGTGTCACCCCATAAGGGTTAGGTTTTTTTTCCTGGTTTTGCAGTTAGAAGAATGGCCAGTAGAAAAGTTGGTCAAAATTTCAAGCATATGAAGTTAAAGACATTTCATTCTGCTTTTAAGACTTATTTATGGCAATGATGTTTAGGTAAGTCTGAAATTAAGCATGTGCAAAACTTAGTACTTTAACAGAATCATAGAATGGGGTGGTTGAAAAGCCACATCCAGCCTGGCCTTGAATGCCTGCAGGGATGGGGCATCCACAGCCTCCTTGGGCAACCTGTGCCAGTGCCTCACCACCCTGTGTGAAAAACTTCCTCCCAACATCCAACCTAAACCTCCCCTGTCTCAGTTTAAACCATTCCCCCTTGTCCTATCACCATCCACCCTTGTAAAGTCATTATGATGTTATGCATTGTCTCTGCTGGAGGTGTATGAAGCAAGATGGTTTTTCAGCTAGCTCATGTGATGGGAATTGGTTGAGTGACAGAGGGAATTGCAAGAAGTATACAGTTCAACATAAGCATGGTTACATGTTGTTTTCCCTAAGGGACAAAGGGCCTTTTACAGGGCTCTTCACACCAACAAGTGTTGCAGGGACTCCCATGTCACATGAGTCAGTTGTGATCCTGCAGCTGCAAAGCTCTTAAGTGCTGCATCCATTCTCTTTCATATTTACTTTGTTGTTGTGAAGAAGCTTTTTAAATTACTCTCTGGCTTCCTCAAACAGTGGATTTTTTTTCCCCAAAAAACACTTTTTGGTACTTCTGTTGACCAGTAGCAGCAATGAGGGTGGCACTGTGAGCAAAACAGTCATAGGGACGGGATGTGATATGTTCATTCATTTTACTTCTGTGACAAATCATGTTGGACCTAGGAATGGTGGTGAAGTCATCAGAGCCAGCAAGTGCAGTTCTGTGCAAATTCTCCCACCATTTTTGTTATTAGCTAACATGGCAAGAGTGGAAATTTTAGTAGTAAGGAGTAAGAGCAAATCCTACTGATTAATTTCTAAACATAGCATCTGTGATGCAAACCATTGCCAACTCAAGAACTTGTATTATGCTTTCAAATAACGTGACCATGTAGTTGTTATGTCAAATGTCTGCAATGAAAATACAACACAATAAAACTAAACCTTTTCACTATCAAGAGAGAACAAATGGTGAATAACAAGTAGCTCAGTAGTTCAAGCTGTTTTTGTTTTGCAGACCTTGTGATACTTTCCTGCGAAGGTAGATTAATACTCTTATCCCTGGGTTAGATGCTGGGCAGCGTGCAGTGTGAGGCTCTAGGATAAATTGTGATGGTCGGTGTTTCAGAGGACAGAGAGGAGTTATTAAACAGGCAAAGGAGTGCCAAGCTGTAACTGTGATTGCGTTGTTCACAGAATGGCCAGCAGCCCTGGGAGTAATGCAGCCCTCGCCGATCAGAAAGGCACAGACTCGGAAGGCTCTCAAGCAAAGCAGTCTCAGCATGCAGAAGAAGCCATCTTTTACAAGAACTGTCGAGCAGCTTACCTGACTGTTTTCAAAAGCAGTTTAGAAAATATTAAATCGAAAGAACAACTCACTTTGGGTAATTATTTGATTTTATTTTTTTTTCCCCTCTAACTGGTGTGTGTGATGGTTACAGTGGGCAGTTTACTAATAGCAGCTAGTAATTCAGTAGTGAGCCTATCCCAGTGCACAACAACAGTACCTCCTGTAAGGAGTTTGCAGTAGTTTTAGCTAGGGTTCACGTTTCAAGCTCTGGTTGCTCTATCTTTGGAGATATCCATTATTTACCCGTTGTAAAATATATCACTGTGATTTTTTCAAAGTATACAGAAACTACCATTCCTCAATGCTTTTCATTTTCTTTAAATCCTTAATCTTTGTTGCTGGATGGCTTATGGAACTGGTAGTGGTTACAGAGATTTTCATCTCTAAATCACCAGTATGAATGAGCAAAAGTCAATACCAGCTGACAGCTTACAAGGGTTCGTAAGTGAGCTGTTGAACACCACCAAATCTGATGGAAGCACTGTTGCTTGCAGGGGATGGGGAAGAGGAACTGCTCTTTGTTTGTGACATTTCTGCAATACCTTCTTTCCTATCCCTGACAGATGACTCAGTGAGTTGGTACAGTTCATTTCTAGTTGACAATTGCCACTCTAATCACAGAAAATCACCATGATAACTGGCATTAATTGGCACAGAGGTTGGCAGATTCATGTGAGAAGTTTTGTCAGTATTACCACCTTTACTGATAGCCTCATCAATTCTAATCTACTTTATCTGAGTAATATGTGAAAATGCCACCTTTCTGGTACCAAATTTATAGATGGTCTATTTCAGCCACTGGTGTTTTCTAAGGATTCTTACTTTTATTGAAACTGTTACTTAACTAAACAGTTTCTATAGACTATATATGTAGTGTCTGTGTACAAGTGGTATTGCTGTCAGCATTACCACAGGGGGAAAAGAAATCTGAATGTTTCAGTTGTGCTGAATAAAGGTGAGAGTAGATAGATAATGGAAGCTGAGGAAACTACCAAATTTGTTTCGAAAATCTATGGCATTTCCATGTTCCTTGCATGGAATCATTAAGCATAATTATGTAACTGACCTGAGAAATGACAGCTGTGTATTGGACATCATCTTAATGACAGAGTAAGATAAGGGATAAGTAGTAATATGTTTCAGTTGTGAGGTTTTATGAGGTTCAGTTGAGGTTTTGCTTCCTCATATAAAATTTCTCAAGCAAATATCGTATCAGCTGTGCCATCTGTTGGATTTGTATTGCTGTGGGCTGTATCTTACTATTTTTCTTCTTGTTTTTCTTTTGTTATGTCATGAGAAGGACTATTTGTGGTTGTCTGCAGTAGCATGGGATTGTGTTAGGGCTGAAACACACTTCCTGGGTTCTCTATTTTCTACCTGGAGTTTTGTGGTTATGTGAAAATCACGGCTGGCTTCATTTGGAAGAAATACTTCTAGCTCACGTTGCTGACAAAGAAAGTATGAGAACATAAACCTTCAGTTAGATGAAAAGAACCCAAATGTGTAATTTTAAAAGCCATGGTTTTTATTTTGACCTTACGGGTTTCAAGATACAGCTCATAATACACTTGGGACTGTTGATATTACAGGTTGTTCTCTGAAGCTCTCCTAATAGATTATTATCATGGTAGCAAGCAGTTTGTGTGTTGTGGTGTTTGTGTTGGTGTACAATTGTTTGTAATGAAAAAAACCCCAGCAAACAACTAAAGGACAAAAAGGCTTAAGGATGGTGGCGCAGTGCCCTCGATTGCCTTACCATGTGCTCAGCACCCAGCAGACTTTGACTCCAGACTGCACCACGTCCAGAACTGAGCAGCAGAGTTGTGGTCTCTGTAAACAGCGGGCATGGTGGTGATGGGTTGATGGTTGGACTGGCTGACCTTTGTGGTCTTTTCCAACCTTAGTGATTCTGTGAGTCAAAATCCATGCTGTATTATCAAATCATTTACTTAGGGCAGAAGTCTAGTGACCGCTTTTCTTTTTTCCTGCACACGTGAGGAAACGTTTGTCACTGATTGCTGCATTGTCCATGGCTAAAATGCAGTAGGTATCTGCCTCTAAAGCCATCAGCACAAAAGCTCAGTGTGTGTCTCTGATGCACTGATTTTTATTTTTTTTTTTCATTTCTGGTAGCTTCTTTCCTTATGTTGATACACGAAATTCTGTGCATTAGCAAACACGTTCTTTCTGCATATGACTTAGCATTATCTGGGCTTTCTGGGCTGTAATAAAGTACTTTTATAACGTCCTAATGATAGTTTTGGATGGTCTGGGTTTTAAAATAGGAGCAGTGTGAACAAGTGTCATCTCTTTTATATGTGGTTTGGCTTTCATCTCGATCCATACCCTGCTGCTGTGTGCTTACCAGGTGTTTGGGCATTTTGGTTTCAAGGTCAGCTCAGGAAGGGCAAACAGTAGATCAGGCTCCCACTCCTCAGAGATATAAGAACTTGCTTCTTTTATAATGTGAGAGTACTGAGAGTTACTGTAGTCCTGTATTGCAATTTAAACAAATTCTGGCACTTATCAGGTGAGCGCGCTCCGTTTGAAGCAGCTGTGGCTGCATGATGTTTGAATAATAATCTGAACTGCAACGTTCACATAGAGATTGGCCCTGCAAAATGTTACTTTGCATACTGTATTGTGTGTGATGCAATATTGCATACTGCAGGATTAATTGGTGTGTTTAGCAGAATGGCTCTGTAAAGAAGGATGAATGAATATAAACTGGATGATCTTTTAGGTCTTTTCCAACCTTGGTGATTCTATGAAACTCGAGAGGTGTAGTGAATAGCAAGCACTGCTATCTCAGGTTGTATAGAATGTAGTGTTGCCATATGTTTGAAGGATACTCAGTTAAATATGAGTTAATGCTGCACTGCACTGATCTTCCAGGGAACTCTGCTACCACAGAACCAAACACAGAGTGAGTAACCGCCTTTCCTTGTCTGACCTTGTACTGAAATCCAACAATAGCTGCATGCCCAACTTTAGCCTGGGTAAAGATGTAAGCTTTGCTATGTTCCCCTGACTGCTTGGAGAGGTCAGGGCAGAAACCTTTATTTAGTCCTTGGCTTTCAGTCTGACGTTAACAACAAAGGTGTCTGGTTTTGTTTGTTTGTTTTTACGGTGACGCTGTTGCCTACTGAACATTGTAGCAATGCCTCCACCTCATTGCAGGGGTGCTGCTGCACTGTTCTCAGCTGGTGCAGACTTGGTCATCAGGCAGCTGGCTAAAAGTCTAAGTGCCAGCCTCGATAAATGTTGGCTCTTTTATGTTTTCCTAAAACACTTTATTATATGGGAAGATTCAAAAGCGTATCTCCAGTTTCAGGTAGGCTGTGTTTGATTGTAGTCCAATGTCAAACCTGCTCCACACTGGGAACTGATAAAAGGCTGTTTTCAGGAAGGGCTTTTGGGAGGCAGGCTAGCTCCAGCTAATGCATTTCGAAGAATACCAAATGTAGGAGCAGTGTCATTTTCACTTTCCATTTAAAATTCACGTTGCATAATATGAATTGATAAGTTCAAATGTATGGATGTGAGTTAAAAGATTGTTTAAGATAAATCTACACAAGAACTTCATTCTTGGCAAAGTGAGTGACTCAGAAGAAACAGCTTTCACTCTGCAAGCTTTCACAAGATAATAAGTTCTTGATATTAAAGCAGAGGATACAGACAGTTGTACACCTTTCACTTAAGGAGGCTGTCTTTGAAGTCGTGGGTATTTTGCTTCACTAAGGTTTTGACTCTGCTGATTTTATTTAAGGAAATCATCCCACTGACCTTAAGAGAACAGTAGCAATGAGTAAGCAGTAAGTGAAAGCTGTGGGTCAAAGCTTTTAGCCAAAAAAACCCCCAAAACAAACAACAAAACTTTGTATTTTTTTTCAGTTGTAAGAATGTTGCACTCTGGCTTCTTCTCAGCAGTGTGGCACCTGTCAGCTCTGTGCTGGATCATGGTTTGTGAGTGCAGAAGAATGCAGGCCTAGAAACAGAAACTGCTCCTTTCATGATCCCTTATCTGCCCCTCAGGCTGCTCCGACCTGTCTGGTAGGAAGCACAGAATTCCAGGCTGGGGAAGGTCACAGTCAGCCTCTATCAGCAGAATGCAGGATTGAGACTATAAACAAAACTGTCTTGTACAGCTGGTTTTCCTTTGAATTGATGAGTCTTGAAAATATATGTTAAAAAAAAATCAGAACATGGGAAGTGGTTAAAGGACGTTTTGAGACAACTCCTTTACTGGCAGCTGGAATATGGGCTTAATGTTTTATTGTTCAGTTCTTCAACAGGCTGGAAGAAACCCATCTCAGAAGACAGTTAATAAATACTGGACTTCACAAACAACCACGCTGAATTTTGATGATTTTTGTGCTATTTTAAAAGAAGAAACACCATCTGCAAAAACTGAATTGCTTGAAGCATTTGGGAAAATAGACACAGATAACACTGGTTATATTTTACACGATGAACTTTATCAACTTCTGACAACAGTAAGTGTCAGTAGGAACTTAATCATCCATTCTTAGCCTTTGATAGAGATTTTGGGAATTAGTGCAAGCATTCTGAACGTGTAAGCATGTATTCCTGATCAAAACAGTTAATAACTGATTCATGGTGGTTGTTTTTATTTTGTTGTTGTTGTCAGAAGTGAGTATAACGCAAGTTCCAGAAGATGTGGAGAAGAGTAAATTGGAAAAGAAGGAAGAAATAATTCATACAATATATTTGTTGTGCTTGACCCAATTAACAATAATTGTTTGTTAACTTCCATCGTGGTGGCAGAACATTCAATTCTCACTCAACATGAACAGAAAAACATAGTTGCAATGGCAAGAAAACATTCTTTATGTGGTAGAAAACAGAAGTGACAGATGTTGAGTGCTCCTGTAGCTGTGCCATAAATATCTTTACATCCTGAAATGTGACATTAAGGCAGTGCATTGCTTTGTATAAACCCAGGCTGAAGAACTCACTGGACATGCCTGCAGAAGCAACTGGAGCTGCTCAAAATGGGGAGGATCAGGATTTGATTTGGAGCAATGTGGTACCAGGACCATATGTCCTCATCACGTGCTTACCAGCAGTGAAGTTCACATTAGATTTTGGTCCTGATTGACACCACGCATCTATAGCTAAAAAGTGACCTGAAGTAGATTTCTGTACAGGAGCTGCGTGTTGCTGTGTCGTGGTAACAGCCCCATCCATCTGTGTAGAGGAAATTGCAGGAGAACCTTGAGGAAGGCTTGCTTTCTTCCTGACAGATACAACTCATGCCCCTGTGGCAAGTGGGCCACTCAAAATAGTGATGCAGCTTCAAATGTGGTTCCAAAAGGAGAGAAACTGCTTTGAATTCACACTGATTCCAAATATAAACAGGTGCAAGGCAAATTCATATGTGAAATAAGCCTTCTAGTGAATTAAACTGCAGATATGGACTCATCTACTGTAAATGTAGGAGGGTAGCTTATGAGTGAAAAAGGCTATTAAGAAGCTAGAACTTGATTGTTAGCATGCTGTATTATAAGTGAGAATGACTGGCAACAGAAATTGGGCAGTGTATGGAAGATCCATGATTAATTGAAGTGTCATTCACAGGGGCTTTCCAGGAGGCAGCACAAAATTGTATAAACTGATGCAGTTCATCTGTTCAGTGTTTAGTAATGTTGCAGGGACATATTTTTTATAATGTTGATCTCTACTTTGGTGAGTCAAACAACTTAAGGGTATTACAATAATCTTTCTTTGTGTTTTAGTAAACATGTGATGTAGGTGATCAGTATTCTTGATTAGGAACTAAAATTAAGTTGGCTTTTCATTGCAGGAAGGTGAAAAAATGACTTTGGATGAAGTGAATGCAGTAATTAAATTACCTGATTTTAACTGCAATGGCAAACTGGATTACAAGAAGGTAAGGCAAACATGTTCTCGATTATGGCAGTAATGGTATTGCTAAAGGCAGCATGTACTGCTGCTGTGTGTTGGTCCACTGGTGACCTCACAGCTGCCCACATCCTGAAACATGGTATGTATTCTGCTACGTCTTTCTGTTTCTCTCATTTTATCTCACAGTATTCTGCCCTTGCTGTTATCTGCTGCAAGTGAACCTGACGTTGTAGGCACAGCCTAACAGTAAGCATGAAGCCTACAACACGTGTGAGGATGAGAGTGAAAGGAATGGCAGGATAAAGATGGCAATTGACAGCAAACAGCTAACCTGTGAGAGCTGCTGTCTGTCATTTCAGAATTCTTTATGTGGGGGACATTATTTTGTATATGGAGCACCTTGTTTTGAAGATGCAGCATCTTATCAATTATTCTGACGACTGAGCAGTGGCTAAGCTTTGAACTGAATAAACAGCCCACAAAGATTTGCACATAAATATAATTTCACAGAGGAAAAGCAGCTCCCTATTGAAATCCTACCTAAAAATAATGTCAAAAGAAAAATAGATCATCTCCTGGGCTGAAAAGTTCTTGGGCTGGAATATTTTCTTTCTGTATTTCCACCTCCTTGTTGAATCACAGCTCTGTTTTGCTGTCTTTCTTGAGTAGTCACTCTGATTTAAATAAATTAAAATGAGTATTGTGAGTAAATATAGTGAGAAAGAATGCTTTACATCTCTGCTTCGATTACTAATGTTACACTTCTAATTTTTAAAACTGTGAGAAAGGATGTTTTTGCTTACGGCATTATCACAGAATCATAGAATCATCATTATTTTCCTTTGTCTCAAGTTTTGTGACTTATTTGTGGCAACCAGTGAGCAGTGCTGCAGGACTGCTCTAGAGAAACTGGAGGCTGATGATCGATTGAGGCATCGGCAGTTTGGAAGTGAAGCTGAAGCTTCCCCTGCAGGGCTCACAGTGCCAGCATCAAAACCATCACTGAAAATCTCGAGGAAAGCTGACCACAAACCAGCACCAACCAAAGGTATTCATTTTTCATACTGGGAGCGTTAGTTTTTTTTAGAGATCACAGACTTAATGAGCAATTGAGCACTGTTTAATTTTTCACAAATAAGCAAGGCTGCGTTTATTCATTCCCACTGTGACAGTTGCCTCAGTGTATCAGTAGAATATCTGACCCGTGTTTAAATGGACTTGGGCTGAATCTATTATCTGAAGCTGGCAAATTCTTAAAGGTGAATTTGGTTGACTCTCACATGATTCTCACAGTCCAGAGAGAAGACAGAAAAGGAATGCTGTGATATTGCAACAGCAAATTAATTATTTCCTTCCCACATCAGAGATGAAACCTTAAGCAGCTGTCAATAAGCAGGGTGTTTCAGTTGTTGAGGCCACTTTTCAGGAGGAACATCAAACTCATATTGGTTGTGCTTGAAGTTACAAAAACTTTCCCAAACAGGAGGAAGTCTGATAGCTAATGGATTCCAGAAGTACCAAATATGAAATATTTGTTTATGTGTGAAATGTGTGCTGTTTAAATTCCTTCAGTTCTAAGAAATGCTGAAGAAGAGCAAAGCTATCAAAAGAACCATGAGGGGTGAATGTGTGTAGCTAAAGCATCAACTGTAGTAGCTCTCAGGTAAGGAATCAGGAAGTAAAGGCCTGTGAGTAATTTTCTTGGGCAGCTGTGGATTAGAAGCAGGTTAAACTTCTCCACTTAGGGCAGATTTACTGTGATTCCAAGGGAAGTTGAATCCCATGGTAACCATTTCTTCTCCTTCAGGCAGATTTAGAGTCCAAGGTTCTGCCATCTGTATGCCTGTTCACCTGGGATGCACAGTCAGGAAAGTAAAGATGTTTGGCCAGTGACTGATTGTGTTAAATTATTTTAAGCCAGCTTATCAGATAGAGGATCTTGTTTTCCACTGTTAATCTTTGTGCATCCGTAAAGGTTTTACGAGAAGTATCACTAGAAGTAGGATAAATAATGTCATTGTATCTGAATATCTGCGTTCATAGGCGATAGCAGAACTCCTTCAAGACCAGCTCAAAGCTGCAGAGCATCCAGCTCTTCCACCATCAGCGTGTGTGCCAGCAGCAACAGAAGCACAAACCTAATTGAGCCCAACACGATGAAGGTATCATGTAAGCTGAAATTATGCTGTTTTCCTCTAGACAGATATGGTATTGCATTTTAAACAAGAAAGTGTTTTTCTCTGATTTTTAGCTTATGTTTTATTAACAGTTTGTCAGGGGCAGCTATAAACTATCAGAAGGTTTCCTGATATTATTATTAACAGTTTCATGTACTGTTGGTTTTGCTGACATCCAGTTATTGAAAATAATTTTTCAGGTGTGAAGGTTTAATAGAACAAAGTGTGTTTTTTTATAAATGAAGCCATTGCTGGAGAAAACGTTTAATGACTTTTTGAGAAATTTAAAATTGCATAATTTATTAGGTTGCTGAGGACTTTAAATGCTTAAGTAGTCTGAAAGATTGTGTATCATAAAGCTTTATTTGAAAGGTAATTGGAAATAAATAACAGATCTCTGAGCATAATCTGTTTGTTGGGCATTAATTTGTAAATATATACTGTAGACTGAAAATATTGATTTTCAGTTAGATTAATATGTTCTATCAGTATTTTCTTTTAAATCAATCACTCATTCAATATAAATTCCTGTGGGAGGAAGACAACAAAGTCACTTTGGTAAGTCAATATTTGTAGAGTGTTAATATTGATCTTTTTCCTTTGTTTTCCCTTTCTAGACTGAACCTTTACTAGTTTTCTTTCAACAGAAAATAATAGCTGTAGAAATATAAAACATTAACTGGAAACTGCTAGGATGCATTAAAAATGTGCACCTTGAGACCTCTGTATAAAAGGAAAAAAATGGTTATGGCCACATAGTATAACTGCTGCTAGAAAACTGAACTGATTGTTCTCATGAGTTACATTTTTGTTTCAAATAACAACTCTGTATTTGTTATTGAACTCTGAAGTCCTTTATATCTTTGACACTGCTCTACAGTGACATTTGTTCTATATTAAAATTTAAAAACATTGTCTCTAAGGAATTTTTTGCAGTCTTGTTTTGGTATCTGGACCTCCATGCAATTTAACCTGCAATTTCACCTTGTTCAAACGTGATATGTAGTGCACGAAACCATTGTGTGTTTTCCCAGTTTGGATCCTTCTTTCTTTGTATGAGCTGGTAAGAGCTGACTGAAAAAAAAAAAGAGCTGCAGATATTGAATACTAGCAATAAGCATCATGTGGGAATTACAGCTATCAGTAAACATGAGCAACTGTAAATTGTGCTACTGAATTTGTTAGCCCTAACTATTAAAGACCCAATACAAGCTCTGTCAAAGTCAATGAACGTGTACATAGTGAGTCACTGAGCTGTGGATTGGAATCAGGTGCTCAAAAATTCAGCACATTTATCTTAAGTGCAGAAAAGACGTTTATTCTGCATATCAGATAACGGTGGCTCTAGAAATATAAAGCATTAACTGGAAACTGCTAAGATGCATTGAAGATGTGCATCTTGAGAATACTGTATAAAGGGTAAAAATGGATAAATAGGGAAAACAAAAGAGACTGGAGGCGTAGCATCCTTTCAGGCAGATTGTATCCACTTTGTGTGGCACTTGGCTTGCCTTCTTCTTAGCACCCGTGTTTTGCTGCTGTGTGCTTAAGAAATTATTAGACATATATATATTTTGTCTGTAGTTAACCTGTCTTGTTGGACAATAAGAAATTAGTGCCATCATGAGGTTGGATGAAGCAGATTTCACTTTGACAGAAGGATAAAGTGGAAGTCAAACCAACCGACCTGTTGGGCTTCTTGTGTAGCTGGCTGCCGTATAACTGATACACAGCTGATGGAGATTGCACATTTCTGCAAAATATTCTTGTCAGTATTAATCAAGTTTTCAAAAGTCAACAAAATAGATAAAGCAATGTTCTGTTCTAGAGTCTCTCAGCTGTGGGTAGCAATGTTGTCCCTGCTGAAAAGTCTCAACTTCTCGTTCACTCTGCTGAAGTCAATGGAAGACATGTATGCACAGTGCACAGCAAAGGAAATGCCTGAGGAAAGCCTTGATCTTGAAAGAACAGCAGAGTACAGTAGTTCTGTTGGAAGGGGACCTTCAAAGACCATCCAGTCCAGCATCTTCTGGGCTGACCAAAAGTTAAAGGTTATCACTTAAATGCCTCTTGAATGCTGACAGGTGTGGAGCATCAGCCACCTCCCTAGGATTCCTGTTCCAGTGTTTGACCATCCTTGTGAAATTTCTGCCCCACTCGTATCCCAAAGCAGCTTGGTGCCATTGAACTAGCAAGAATTTTTGTGCTTATTCATCAGGTTTTGCACAAGACAAAGCAGTCTTGTGTTCTTTAATTCTTTAATTGGAGGAAAAACTCCTTTGGCAAACATTGCTTTTTAGTTGTAGTTGTGCATCGGTGCACGGACAGTTTCAATAATGACTTACATTGTAATGGCAATTATTTATACATTATTTGGACAGTGACCAGCAGTGACAGCAGTGGAACTCCCTAATGTTTCCAGTACAGGCATTTCTCCCTGTTTTAGCTACTATTTGATAAACCTGTGCTTTTATATTTCACATCCCCTGTTTTGCACTGAAGATGCATATTAAAATCAAAACAGAAGATCACCTTTTAGCTCCTTTAGTTTCCATTCCTGTTTGTGGTCTGACAAGGATAGAGAATGTAGCACCACCTTCTGCTCACTGCAGGAATAACAGTTCACTATTCCTAAAGCACTGTCAAGCTTTTGCTTCCCGTTTCTCCCATCTTAATCTGAGTGGCACTTCTTGAGGTATTTTCCCTGCTGCTTTGGCTAGTGTTCTCTTGTAACAATGTCTGTCCAAATGCAGAACTGCAAAAAAAAGTAGTCATCCATCTGAAATAACAGCCAGGAATATGGAAGATAAACAGGGCAAAGCTGCTTGCTTGGGACCGTGAGCTGATGATTTGAAGACTGCTGCCACAGTGAGGAAGGGGAAATAGGAAGTGCTAGAATAATTTTTGTATATGAAAACTGTTAGAGTATCTTTCTGAACAGCTAGAGCACATTTGGATGGCTGCTTGAACACTGTATTTACACTTGTCTTTTTGACTTTGAGCTGTTTGGATTGGGTTTTTTTTTCTAAGCATTTTATAAGGTACAAAGCTTAGAGACTATGGAAACGAACAAGTTACCTCAATTGTGTCAAGTTATAAGGAAAGATCTCAATTCGTTGCATGTTCATTTGGACAGGAATAAGGGTTCTTAAATTGATGAGTCCCTGAGAAATTTCCCTACAGAATTTAGGGTTGTGAACAGAAAATTTAAATTTAGGATCAGAGCTGCATGCATTCCTAACTGTGTTAGCAACCTGGGTACAGTTCACTAGGAAAGTCCAGTTCTTGTCTGACACCTTCTGATCACTGACTGTAAAGTGTCATCAAATGAGCATGAGGGGATTGTGATGAGAACTGATTCTTTAAGAGGTGTGAAATGAAACCTGGGATTCTGATGAAGGCTGTTTGGCCTTCAGTGAAGCAAGGAGTCAGTCTGTTTACTGGATGTTGCATGCAGACCTCTGCTTTCATCAGTTCATTTCTGAAATCAATGCTAGTTTACGTCTTGCACTGAATATTCTGCATAGTTACAGCCACTTGTATAGAGCTGTCTGTTGAGATTACACTGAAAGATTCCTTCTGCTAGGCTATGCTCAGAAACTTAATCTTCTATTGCTAGGAAAGTAACTAGAAATAATGGATTTAATCAAGACCAAGGGAGTGAAATCGAGAATGTCCTCCTTTCCTTATGGCATACAACATGGCTACAATGGCTTTATTTCTCTTTAGCTAAATGGTATTAGAAATTGAAAATTGGGGTCTGCTATTGGGGGAAAAAAAAACAGCTTTGAATCGTGTAGCAGTTTCAACATCTCAGTAAAATCATGGCTTCTTACAGGAAGCTCTTCTCAAACACTGCTGTCTTCTGTTTGTGTCTTTCCAATGGCTTTGGCAGAAGACAAGAAGAAACACTTGATTTTACTACTACCTGTGCTTGTCATTTGAGCAAAGAACTCGTTGTTCAGCTAATCCATTAGGGTTTTTTGCTTGAATGTCCTTATAGAAGTAATGGAGCAAAATTCCAGCATCTCAGTGGTCAATCACACAGCTGAGAGTCTTCCATGAATTTGGTTTGGTTCTTCAAGAGAATTAACATTTCATTTTAACCATTTGAGAATTGGGGTGATCTGTACATTTGTGGAGCATTTTCACAAGTAAAGCCGTGTTACTGGCTTGTCTGCAGGAGCTGAAAGAGACTGAGGGAATTCATTAAAAAAGAAAAGAGAAGATTGATGCTACACCTTGGGGTATCTTTAATGCGGCATTCCTTAAATCATCAAATTAATGTATTTTACAGAATGAGCTTCTGGCTTAATCTTTTATTGAGGCAACATTCAGTGTTTACTCGGTTTCCAGGAATGGCAATGTGCTCAATCCAAGGGATGCTTCTACCTAGAGGAGGATGGTGAAATCGTTGCTCATAAGTACAGGCTGCATTTACCTCAGAGGTCTGCAGTGTGCATAACTATCAAGCCTTTACGCCTTCGTCAAATAGAAGGTAAAAATATTTGTATCTCTTCAGAGAATTTTCCTTTCTAAAGAATATATATATTTTCCTCACTGATGCATCTGCCTCTTCTCTCCTGCAGTATTTAGTGATATTTTGCAAACATCATAGTACTGCAATATTTTTCTCTGTTGGCAAAGTCCTATTAAAAATACAAATTACTTGTCACATCATTTTTTCTCCTTAGTTATTTTGTTCTCTCTGTGTGGGCAGTAAAATAACATCAAAGTGTGTTGTCTTTCTTTTTGTAGTTGGCCAATGTCTTACATTCCTAGACTCCAGACACACAGTGTATTTACATACTTAGTTCTAACTAAGCATTTTTAAGATGGGTTGGTAATTGAAATTGGCAATAAGCTTCACTGCAAATAATTAACTGAAATTAGTAATTCTCCAGTTCCAACCTGGCTGAAACGAGAACCTGACCAACAGACTTTTAATGGTAAATAAAAGGGATCTGAAGCTAAATGATTTGATGGTGTCTCAGTGTTCTGCTTATAGCTTTTGCTTTCTTTTTGCCACATGTCAGCTTCTTAAATTGTGCCGTTGAATTATTCTGCTGCAAGATTATTCAGGCGTTCCTTGCGACTAAAAGAGTAACAGTTTATGCACAAATTCTTCTTTTGCACATTATTGTCCCATGTACAGAAATATCTTGGTGTTTGGTTGTGAAGAGGAAGGCATAATGCTGTTATGTAAGGGAAGTATTTCTCTTTTAGCACGACAGTTACCTTTTTAGGAGATTCAGAATATCTTCAAATTTCCTACAAACTTGTTTGCTCCTTGGTATCCTTAACTCCTAACTGCAGACAACTGAGTCCCTCCATTGCATGTGTTCTTTTGGTGTAGCCTATTTAACTTCAAGAACACTAAATTGCCCATTGATTGACTGCTCTCGAGGACTGAGCAGCTACAAGAAATCAATTCTAAATTGATTCTAAAATGAATTCTAAAATGATTCTAAAATCAATTCTAAATTCTAAAAAATGATTCTAGTAGCATCCACTGAATATATTTAAGACCTTCACTGCAGTCATCCTGACCAGTGATGCCACGTGTGGGGATCTTGCTGTTCAAATCTTAAAATTTACTCATCTTTCAGAGTTACACATCCTTTGATATCTCTAGCTTTTGCATGTAACATAAGTTTCCAGTTAAGAAGAGTTTAACAATGTTTTATGGAATGTCAGAAGAGATTGTAAGCTTGATATTGCCCTTAATTGCACACATATTTGTATAAAGAAAACTAATAAGAAATAACGTTCTACTACTTGTAGAAAACAATGCAGACAGCTTCCTTCACTATCAAAGTGTTCAATGTCTGAATGATTAATAGCAACCATTATCTGTAAGACAATTACATTATTTGTAGCAGTTTTTCTGATTTGTCTAAATAGGAAGAAAATGTTGATAGCATATAATGGTTTCTTTTCTTTTTTTTAATCTTACCTTAACAGAGACCAATGCTATAAATGCAATGGAATTATTTACCTTGGGATTCAAAGAACAAACAATTTTGTGAAATTGTTAAGAATTTGAGGATTTTTTTATCTTTTTAGGAAAATCTTGTCACTGGTTGTCAGTGGATACGGTGTTGTATGTTCTGAAGGAAAATGAAACCACAGAAAACCTGCAGCTTGTCTGCTCTACTGACCAGCAAAACAGAGAGGTCAGATATTTCTGTTAAATTCCTAGATTGTTTTTTGTATCTTTAATGTACCTGTTTTTGCTACACGGGTGAGCTTCTGTGTGTTTGGAAGGAATTCAGAGCTGTGCCTAATCAGAGTAGAGGAGAGAAGCATTCTGTGCATGGTGCCTTCCCAAACAGGCAGAATTTATGCAAGGTGATGTAATACCGTCTTCGCTCTGACCTTTGGATGGGCTGAATTGCAAGCCACGTGTTTGGAAAGTTAATGAAGTTCCTGAGAGGGCCCTATTCTCAAGTAGCAGGTTGGCAGGCATGCCCAGATTGCTGGCTCGCTGTACAGATACTCTGTGGAAACTAAGTTGCATTTCTGCATGCTCAAACCCCCAGTTCAGAATTATAACATTTGTTACAATTTCCTTTCATTTTCTTTCTTCTTGACACATGCATGATCTTAAACTTCACAGTTCACAGAATATTCTTGCACTGTAGCAGAAAGAAGGGAAGAGGGATGGCAGGGTGCAGTGACTCTCCACTTCCAAGCAACAGGGAAATCAGCTTGCTTCTTAAAACCTGCTACCTGTGAATTTTTACACAGGAAGTTTTTGTTGCTAGTCTGAACAAACCTGGTAAAACAGGAGGGGAATGCAAAACCGGGTGGGTTTTTTTAGCATAATTTTGGCTGCTTGTGTATTAAAGCTTAAGATTTGAAGAGAGCTGAAAATCTGAAAGATGATGGGTCTGCTATTAGAGGCTTCCAGTTGTTCTCCCCTCATCTGTGGTCCTGAATAATTTTTTAACTTGTAGTGCAGTGCAGTTAGGAGTGGTTTTGGGGCCTTCACAAAGGCATCACATGGCTTCTTCCAGGTTTGCATTTGTTTTAAGGAAAGAGACTAGCATTACCAGTGTTCTCAAGTAATTAATCAATTATGTATGATTACTACTACTAATGAAGGAAGGTATCATTTGACAAGTAACCTACAGGTTTGTCTGTCTTCCTTTAAGAGTAGATGTTTGGATGGAAAGGGGAGCTTCCATCAGGAGTGTACTGGCTACTCCCATTCACAACAGGCTGTAGGCTGAAAAAGGCAAAAACACCAATGACTGGAGAAGCAAAACTGGTGTACAGAGATGAAGATGGCGAACTGGCTCTTACCAAAGAGTTCCGGTGAGTCCTTGTCCCAGATAGGAGTGGTAACCAATACAAAAATACGCACTCCAAATAACTTCTAGCTTTCTAATTGCTAAAATACAGCTGCATAGAATATTCTCAAGTACATTCTTTACTATATACCAACAGTGTTTGTAATTACTGAAACAGCAGAGAAGATGAAAATGTTTGGAGACGGTTCTGCTTTTTTTCATCTTTTAGAGCAGCTTTATTGGATATATTTGAAACAATTGATTTGGATGGAAATGGCCTTCTGAGTTTGGAGGAATACAATTTCTTTGAACTGAGAACTAGTGGTGAGACATGTGATGAGGAAGTGTGGGCTATATGTAAGGGTAAGTCTGTTGCTGTGCAAAATACAACTACTTAAGACTATAAATCTGCTTGCAAACTGTGGTCTGTAGCACCCTACTGTGTATATAGTTAAGGAGGGCTGAGTATTTTGTAGCCTATTCCAAGAACACAAGTGTGTATTAGTATCTTGTTTTACTTTTTCAGTCTCCTGTCCCTCATTTTGCTTTCTTCTGGTTTGTGTGCCACTGTCCTTCTGTTAAGAAAATTCTTCCTATTGCTAATTGCAAAGTTCTGTAGATTAAAACTGTTACAGCTGCCAAAAATACAGGTTTTCTAAGCACAGATCGTATAGTGAATTGGGCTATAACAGATATTCATTGATTTAATCTCTTTTCTGCAACTTAAGCTGATACTGCTTTCATAGCTCATAAGGTGTTGAGAGGGGCGTTTAATCAGCGTGTATAAGATGCTTTAAAGCAAGGGCATCTAGAGCTTATTATGCTTGCTTGGAAAAGTAGATACTAGAAAACAGCTGTTGCAACTATATGTTTTCTTCGTGTGTAAGCAGTTTTTTCATTAGAAATCTGTCTTTTAAAGGTTCATATATGGTGTGTCAGTCTGTCCATATTGTGCTAGATGAGAGCTGTGAGACTTTGAGGTCCTGTAAGTCAGATGAGGAAGCTGATAGTTAATTTTCTTTCAGCTGTACTTTACTTTCTGTCTGCAGATTCATACCATCAATGTTAGTGGACATCCTGCAGCTTGCAGGAGCAATATTGGGCCACGGACATCAATTATGAAGAAAAAAGAAATTCTGTGGCATTGCTTTAACCCTGCACATATTTAGCTCCTAAGGGTAGAAAAATGTAACCACCAGTGGCTGTGTGCTGCTGTAGTAACACAGTGCATTAAATCAATGGTTTCAAAGCATTGGCAGTTAAACTGAAACTAATGGACAAACTGGAAATTTAGAGGGTGTAGTGTGTAAACTAGAAGTTTCTGTACAAAAAATAGTTCTGCAACCTGTGTCTGAAATGCCAGTATGGTATGCCATTAAATATCAGCCCATGCCATCTGTTAGATATAACTCCTTTGCAGGCTATGACACATTGATTAATTTAGGCCAAAAAATACTTAAGACCTGGCAAGTCCTGCCAACTGTTTCTCCCCAAATCACTCAGATATATTGGAGTTTTTTCCTAAACTATGGAAAGATCATATAAAAATACTTCCCTATAAATCAGTGTCTCTTTCGTCCCTTTCCATGTTATTCCTCGCTTTATGACTTTGTCAGTGTTCTGTATCTGTGAACTGGTCTCAGTGCGAATAGGGGGAGTGTGTGTGATGTGTTTGAAAGAGGGAAGAAGAGAATATGGTGAATGTATTACCTGGTCGTTAATCAGCTGAAGGGTTCAGACGAATATTATAAATCTTGACACCAAAGTTACAGCCGCTTATTATAGCATCTGTACCCTTAGATAGATTTATTAAACTGGTAATCCCTTTTTAATAATATATAGTAAAGATTTAGCATTGTTATGAAGATGAGAAAACCATTTTTAAGAATCGCTGACACAAGGACATTTCAATTATGTGTTTGCTGACATTAGATTGGTCAATCTACCATATTCCATCAAAAGAAGGGTGCTAGGATTACTGGCGTTTTATTGCTTTTTAAGAACTAAGTAAATCACTCCTATATCAAGGACCTCAAGCACTAAGGATGCTGGCCCCATCAGACTTTCATTTCCCGTTCCTAATATACCCTATTCTGCAAATCTCAACTGCCACAGATACTGCTAACAAAAGACAAAAAAATCAATATGAATTCTTTCTCTTTGGGAATCTCATCCTCTTCTGGGCTGTACAAAGGGTGCAGAGTTTCTTGGCATTATCTAAAATCCACAGTGCAGCCCTGCAGAAGGCTGGCATGAAGTCAAGGGCGTTCATTCCCAAAGCATGCTTAGAGAGCCTGAGGCTGCAAGATGGCTCAGTCTTGTAAATCTCATTAAGTACAAGGTTGGCTTTGGAAGGACAAAGGGCGTTTGCAGAGAGAACAGACGTTGTTGTAGTGTTACCTTGCATTTCTTTTCAGAGAATTTTGATATGAAGAAGAATGAACTAACAAGACAAGGATTTATGGATCTGAATCTCATGGAAGCCAATGACCGTGAAGGGGATCCTAGTGACCTTTGGGTCACTTTATTGTCACTGGGCTACAACAAAGCATTAGAAATGACAGAGGTATGATAGCCGTACAGCAAAGTAATTGCTTTATGTACAACTTGCTGCACGTGTTTAATTGCAGTGCTGTTTCTGTCCATCACAAACTGACTTTGGTGGATCAGTGTTCCAGCCCAAACGCTGCTGATGCAGGGTTTACCTGATAATTTTCAGTCACTATGGCATTCTGCTTCTTAGAATAAATGCCACGGTTGTAAGACAGGATTTATCTTTTGCCTTAGACAAAGCAGCATTTTGTGGGATAGGAGCAGTGGGAATCTTGGGTTATATCCTTTGAAAAAATTCACACACCTTGCTGGTAAGCAGTGATAAGAAGACAGTGGTAGTAAACTGTGACCTGCCAGCAAGCATACAATACTCAGAACTTAGTCACCTTCCTGACCCAAGCTGCAGCAGAAGCCATCAGTCATAATATAAAAGTTACTGCAATGCAAACAAGTGATTACTGCTTACAGTAACTTAAAAACTAACACAAATGTCAGCTAGAGAATGGGGTGATAGGAATGGATTTCTGAAATATTAGAGTGTTATATCAGCTAGGGTAAGATAACTTCAACCCCACCCCAGATGTGACTCAGAGCTAATAATCTGCAGATGTGGCTGAATGGTGCCTTACACAACAGTCTGAATGGGTTCCATATAAAATTGGAGTGAAAGAGCTTTTGGGTGGCACACAGTTTGCTTAAAGGGCCAGGTGTTATTTCTCTGGTTTAATTATGTGCTTACAGATTCTTTTAAAACCCATATCAGCATTAGCATTAATAGTTCTTACTAAAGGAAAAAGGTATTTTGAATGAAGAGGGAAAAAAAAGAAAAAAACGTTGAAGACATAAAATGTGCACTTAATTTCATAATATATCTTGTTGTTTTTTCCCTGATTTGTTTTTGTTTGTTTGTTTAGTCTATTATTTATTTAGCTTTAGTTAAAATAGCTTAGGACCATAAGATTATACAGTCCCCATATAAAAATGTGTATGAAACATAAATGCAGACCCAAAAAATCCAGTATGGCAGAGAAATTTTGGTTGGCTCTCACTGAAAATCCTGAGATTGTGGTGAATGATTTCTTGAGGAGCAGCACTTTCTCCTTTTCCTACAAGTAGGCCTAACATAGCAACTACAAAAGTGTCTTTCTGCATTTATCCCATAAGAGGGAGCTATCCTCTAAGAAAGAAGATTTTTGGGGAGGTTTTATCACGTTCGAAGTTTCTTTGGGTACGCTGTGTCTTATATCAGCTATGGCTTTATGTCTGTAGTTCTTGCTTTCCAAAGGAAAATGTAGCTTTCTGAATAATTTAGTTCTTGATCTAACAGGGTATATGTACTAATTGGTGTCTGCAATTTAACCTCTTCCTGGTTTTTCAGTGATTTAGAGTGTGATATTTCAGGAGCATTGAGCCTATTGAGTTCAAGGCAGAGCTGAAAAATCCTAGTGGATTCCCATAGCCTTTTGGAAGACATCAAGGTGCTGTTACTTAGTGTAAGAAAAAGTAAACAGCAAGTGAAATAAATTAGTACTTCATACTCATTCCTGTATGTTTTGCTATCCAAGAAAGGATTTGTTACGTTGGAGAGGAAAGCACCAAACTGCCTATCCAGTGTATTGGAACTGGCATGAAGAACACTCTTTTGTCCTGGCCTTTCACTCTGTTCATAAGATCACCACAGCTCTCAGGTTTTGAATTTTTAATACCTAGTGACGTACTTTCATTTGGATAATTTTACTTCAGAGCATACATGAAAATCCCTAGGAGCTATGGATGAAAATCTGAAGGAAAAAAAACAAGGATAAATTGATGCTAAAACTCTTCTTCTCCACTGCAGGCATGCCCCTTTGTCATTGACATCTATGCAGAAAAATGCAAACCCAGAATTAAAGCCATATATCTAGAGGCTGGCAGCTGGCAACTCAACAGGGCTATCTGCAAGTCTGTTGTTAATAATGGAGATGCCAAAGTAATGGATGGCTGTGAAAACATAATTGTCTATACCTGTAGGACTGGCATGCGAATCACTTCTGTTATTGAAAATAAGGTATGGCAGGATACTTCTATAAGGTACTTTGTTTTAATGTCTGTTATTACTGTTCTTTTCCTTGCATGCTTCAGTTTTGGGAATTACATTTTCTGTTAACTTGCCAGTCTTACTGGTCTACTTTGCTACTAATCGGCGTGAACAAACATAAATCCAGGTAAAACTTGTTGGTGAGATGCAGTTTTTTGACCTTTTTGCATAGATCTCCATGAATATTCTGGTAATTCTCTTTCATTTATAACAGGAACATAAATGCTGTGCAGTAAGATGCTAAACTTAAGATGCTTCAAGTCTTAAAAGCTCGTAACAAGAGTGTATTTTTAAATGGGCAAACATGCAAAAGGGGATGGATTGGTGGACTAATATTAGGACTGAATGCAGAGGTTCTTTGGAGCCACAGGTTTAGAAATGCACTTCGCCCTTTAGGTGGGTATACTGGAGTTATTTATATGTTTAGGGGTATGTCAGAGAAGGAGACAAGACCTGTGCTGAGGCAACTGGCTGGTGAAAATCACTGACCATTGCCATTTATACCATTTGGGTTTCATATGTAGCTTTGCTCTGCATTGAGCAGTTACACTTCCCTGAAAATCTCGTTGTAGAATTTGTTGGCTGGAAACTTTGCACTGTAAATGTCTGGAAACAAGTAATGAAAGGGCAATTTTATGCCTTCTTTTAAGCTTCCCACAGTGCAAGCAGTCTGGTTGTATCTTCAGTTACTGTGTTGATGATTTCAATGGAAATAATTCTTTGTTATTTCTGTAATTAAATTATGCTAGTTCTTGAGGGATTCTGGTTTTGTTTTGCACGTGCATTTCATCAGTGGGTAGAGAAAGGTGGTTGTCTTGTAACCATCCCCAGTCAGGATGCGAGCTGCAAAGATGAAAAGACCTCACAGGCAGAGCATCAGTCTTCTCAGAGAATAAGAAGAGATGAGTCTGTTGCCTCCTCATTTGTGTGACAAAAGCAATCGTTGATGAAGCATTTCCTGTCATCCAAAGTGCAGGCTTGGTCTAGGATGCCCTCTCTGCTCGGTGAATTTCTCTTACCTTCTTCCTGTTGCTTTAAGTATCTTCCTGTAGAGATCATTCTCATGGCCAAGTAGAAGAGAGGATTTCACCGAAGCGATGTGGGCGATCACAATAATAATGAGATTAGCACTGGATCGTCTTTACATTTCTGCAGCCAAGAATGACCATATTTACACTCTGTGGCCCACAGATCCTTCCTACTGTGTGCACCAAAGATACGCTGAAAGGACTGGCAAAAAGAGCTGATAGGAGCTTCTTGTGTGGCATGAGGCTGATTGCTTAAATCAGAAAGCTGTGTTTCTGTTCCATTTCTCAATACAGAGGGATTGTTGGACAGCATTGTCTAAGAACCAAATTTCCTGGGCTCTCTGTTGAGTGGATGGCAGAGTATAGTAGTACACCCTTAGATCCTGAGTCTGAATATTGCTTGAGGTAAATCTGTGGTCAAAGAGTTTTCCAGTACCTCAACTCTCAGTTTTACATATTGGATCCTTTTTGGAAGCATCTGCACACCTTTAGTAAGAGGTCTGTTGAGTGATTGTATTTAAATGAATTCTGCTCGATGTTTTAAAAAATCTCTATGAAGATGAGCTGCTTTTCTCAAGGGAATGCTTGGAAGAAACCGTGAGCAGAAGAAGACTGTGACAAGGCACATCTTGATGAGTGTCCCTTACAAACTGCTGTGTGTGCTGTATCTGTGACTTGTGGCAGCCCAAGTGAGGAACTCTGGTCATATCTGAAAGAAAACAAAACATGAAAAGTGCTCCTGACATGGGGCATTTAACTTCAGAATCTAACTTAATAGCATAGCTGAGGAAATAGGAGGAAGGTGTAGTTCTTACAGAAAGAGCAGCTGCTTTACCACTAAGACTAATGGGCTCTTTCATGTTTTTTTTACTTGCAGTCTGATAACAAAGTGATTGTTCATGTCAACAATGAGCAGAGTAAGAACTGCCTAAGTAATAGAGGCCTTGCTGTTTTTGCTGTGGAAGTGGCACCAAAATCTATGATGGTAAGAATTTATTGTTTAGCTATCTAAAATCTAAGGGAAAAGCAAAAATCATTTGACAACTGTACTGTTTCCTTTTGCAAGTCTTTTATCATAATAACAAGCATGTGGATAGTGAAGAGGTCTGTCTTCATCACCAGTACAGATCAGATATCATTTTATTGCTATTCCAAAGCTGAACACATGCCTGATATTACTATGTTCTGCAGTGCAGATTGATATAAAATTATATTGCGTTTAGTTTGTCATACGTGTGCTCCCAGATTTTGGATGCTGGTGCCTCTTTCAGTTGTCCATACATGTATCACTTTGTCATGTTTTTAATACTCTATTTCTGTTTTTTAATTATTATTATTACTCAAATTTAAATCAGATCTATAGATTGTCTTGAGAAACAGACCGAGCCAGGTTTGTGTAAGAGAACTAGATGAGCATTGTGGTTCCTTTCAACCCAGGCCATTCTATGGTTCTATGAAACAGAGAGAGCCCAGTGGCACTGGCAGGGTGGCCCAGTTAATATTGCTACTGGCAATTCAGATAATTGTAGTCTCCTCCTGTAGTGTTTTATTCATTTTAATTTCTGCTTTGCTTGGTATAAACTGAGACTCAGTGACCCTTGTGAATTCTTTGCTGTCATAATAGATGCTGATTGTTTTTCATTCAGTGTTTGTTGTACACGTACTGAAATATTTCTTGTTGCTTGCATAGCATTCTAGGCTATATACATACAATCCTTCAATAAACATCCATTTCACCAATGTTTTCTCTCTTGTGTACAGGTTTCTCAGCACGTGCTGCCACTGAACGAGCAGGAAGAATGGCTGTATAATTGTGTGCATTCCCTCTTACGCTGAATGCTGTAGTCAGTGCTGCTTCTTGGCAATGTTTAATCACAGCTTCTGCAACACAACTTGTAGGTGTGTCCTCTAAAGCTGGTATGCTTCTCAGTTTTATTTGTTAAAGCCAATGAATCGTATAAGTACTTATTTCTGGTATCCCATGTCTGCTAATAGCTCTTAAGAAACACAAACAGTGATAGCATAGGGATGGAATAACTGCAAGTCTGTAGAATTGTTTGACAGGGCAGAATGTTCACATGCTGTCTAATGAAATACAGCATTGTGCAAGTGCTGAGATGCTGAAAATGAGTTCTGTTTGGTGATACAGCTGACAGTTATGATAGAATTGTGTTTCACAAGGGCTGTTTCCCCAAAAATGCCCTTATTTGCTGTAATAGTTAACATAGTTCCATATTACAGTCCATACTGGAACTGCTTCACTGAGAAAAAGATCTGTTAAATTGATCACATTGATTCCTAATTCAACACTGCTTCATGTGTAATTCAACACATGATTTTTATGTGAGAGATAAAAAGGGGTGGGGTTATTTATCTCCTGACAAAGGGTTTTAATTTTTTTTTGTCATTTGATAATACCTTGTACTAAAATACTTTAAAATACTCTTTTATATGAAATAAAATCTGCCTTTTCACATGCAATAAGGGATTAATATTTGTGCTCCTAACTGTTAACTGCGACTAATTATTTGCAACGTAGCTGAAGTAAGAAGGCTCGAGGTACTAAAAGTATTCAGGCAGTTATGTTTTTCTCCAAGTGTCCATATAAGAAATGATGACCCTGGTCACTGAATGCTTCAGGAGTGCCTGAGTTTAAAATAGCCCTTAAATATATGTGACCTCATCTGAAAGGGCGGCGAGCAGTCTTGAAAAGCTATATTTATCTGCCAGCAGCTCCTGCACAGCGCTGTTGCTCTGCTGTAATCGTACACTGGGCAAGTAAATGTCAGTTACAAAATGGGAGTGCTGCTAGAGGCTGGCTGTGATTTATGCTCTTCTGTAACTGGAACTCAGGCAGGTCTGCTGGTGAGCTCTTTTTTTTTCTTCTTAGCAAGTGCAGCAGATATCACTTTCATTTCTAGAATGGCCTAAAAGCAGTAGAAATTGCACTAAAAGACTGCAGAAATATTTGGTAACTTGCAGCCAGCCAGAAGGAACCCTGTAAACACTGCCTCAGGCAACGTGTGGATAATCAGGAGTTCCTGGTAGCATCTCTAAGAAGGAACTGGGAAATAGTGAAACACCTACATGTGCTGTAGGCAATACAGAGCAAGCACAGTTATTTGCATTATTTCTGTTTTTGCATTGGTGTCAGGCCTGGTAGATCTAGCGGGAATCCACGTGCTATTCCTATTGGACTTCAGGAAAGAAACATGTGCCAAGCTGAGTAATTGCTGCAAAAAGACTTGAAACGTGACCCAGCAATGGGGAGTGGAACCTTTTCCTTTTCAGATCTCACTGTTAAGAAGAGTTTCACCAGCTCTTTGAAGGGGAATATAGGCTAGTTGTTTTCCGTGGGAATTTCCATCTTTTCTGGCCAGGACAGTGGGGATCCCGGCTGTACCTGCAGAGTACTTCCAGTTTCCTTCAACTTCAGGTGCTGCCAAGGTAGGAAAACATTCTAGCTTCTACTTTTAAGGCAGAACACAGGTGTCGGCTCTCGCTGCTTCTTTCAACCGGCAGCCAGGAGGAAAAGGCAGCGCCTGCAGCAGCAGCAGCACTGCCTTCTACCGTTCTCTCGGCGCCTAGAACCAAAGTCCCGCTGCCCTCGGCGCCCTGACAGCCGCAGCCCGAGCCCCGCTGCGCCTTTAAGGGGCGGGCGGCGCGGAGCCGCGCGGGGCGGGGAGCGAACGGGGCCGGCTCCCCCGGCTCCCCCCGCGCCCGCCGCCGCCGCGCCCGGAACTCGCATCCCGGGCCGGCCATGGTGCACATCGAGACGGTGAAAACCAAGGCGTACGCCGACCAGAAACCCGGCACCAGCGGGCTGCGCAAACGCGTCACCGTTTTTCAAAACAATGCCCACTACGCCGAGAACTTCATCCAGAGCATCCTGGCCACCGTGCCGCCGGGAGAACGGCAAGAGGCCACGCTGGTGGTGGGGGGCGACGGCCGCTTCTACATGAAGGACGCCATTCAGATCATCGTCCGCATCGCCGCCGCCAACGGGGTACGCGGGGCCGGGGCGGCTCTCGGCGTGGCCTCGGGCCCGCGGGGCAGGAAATGCGGTGACAGCGTTACCTGCGGCTTCGTGAGCCTTCGGAACGCGCGGGCGGACGGTCTCGGGCCGGGGGGAATGGCTTCCGACTGAAGGAGGTCAGGTGTGGGGAGGAAGTTCTCCGCTCAGAGGGCAGCTCTGCTTCCAGAGCTGTGGGTGCCCCCTACCTGGAGGTGCCTGAGGCCGTGGGTGGGCCCTGGGCAGCCAGAGCTGGTGGGGGCTTTAAGTTCCCCTCCAATCCAACCATTCTGTAATCTAGGAGAACAGAGCTTGGAGAGGCTTTGACTCAGTGCTCTTTCTTACTGTGGGCCAGAGCTGTGTTTCGTACCCAGCAGCATACACTGCTGGTGAGTTGTGCTGGGTGGGCAGTGGGGTGCCTCCCCGTGCTGCTGAGAGCACAGCTGCATGGGTTTACCTGTGTCACAGCACTTGGTCAGCCTGGGGCTAGCCCAGCAGGGACAGCTGGGCTGGAGCTGGGTTGGAGAGTGAGGCCTTTCCTTCCCCTTGGCCTTCTGCAAGTGGAGAATGCCATCCTCTCCTGGGCCACCTGGCTCCTGCTTGTCAGCAGCAGGATTCCCTCCTTGCAGGGCTAGCAGAAGATGCTGAGTGGTTAGAGTCAGGCATTAGGATGGAACCTAACAATTACCTGCTTCAATTTCCCAGCAATAATCAGATCTGTAGTTATTAGGCTGAAGGGGAACACGACAAAGTGTGAGATCACTACTTCCTTATGGCACAAAGAAGCACATAACTGCCTTCTTGGACCACATAGAAGTTTGCTTTCAGTGATGCATGGTGACTGGTCAGCATTAGGTGTCTGTCCCATGTCCCTGAGCACCAGCTTTGCCGGGTGCACCTGTGAGTGATGGATGCTACAGGCTTTCCTGTTGGGAAAGGCACAGCCACAGTTCTATTTATTTATTCTAAGGAGAGTTGGAGCTGAAACATGCAGCCTGACAGCACCTTGGATGCCCGTGAATAAGCTGACTGGGAGGTCTGTTCACTGGGACAAAGCCTTGGTTTGTTTAGGCTCTCACCCTGGCGGGCTGTGGCAGCCTTCCAGGCAGTTCTGCACTCTGTACCTCAGTTCCAGCAGCAAGCAAGGGGCTGAAGGTGCACTGGGCTGGAACTGAGTGCTAATTGCTCATAGGCCTCCTCTCGCATCGTGCTGGTGCTCACGTATGTGCAGCATCACAGCACTGAGCTCTGCAGAGCAGGTCCTGGGTCTGCTGGCTGGTGGGCATTTGCTTTGTAGTGTTTCTACCGAACTGGTTCAGGGTGCTAGGAGAGAATTGTCTCTAAAGTGAGAAAAACCTTCTGGAAAGGCAAGAAAGGAAACAGGAAGCAGAGAGAGAAAAGAGTGGATGAATATTTGGGTTAAGAGCCAAGATGCTGGTGTACGGAGTGAGAAATTTTACTTGACAAGCTTTTCATTCTGAATCATTAATTTATAAAGCAAGCAAGTAGCTGTGGCCGTGGGAAGGATGTTAGGCTTTTTCAAGCAAAAATTGATAGGATGAAAAGCGATGGCCTCACATTGTGCCACAAGAGAGTCAGATTGGGTGTTAGGAGAAAACTTTTATCCAAGAGCGCTCAGCACTGCACAGCTGCCCAGGGCTGGGGGTCACCATCTCTGAGGGTGTTCAGAGCCATGGGGATGTGGCACTGTGGGACGTGGGCAGTGGGGGTGGAGTGGGATCAGGTTGGTGACTTTACAGTTTTTCCTACTTTACAGAGCTTTTCCAACTGTATTGATTCTCTGGTTCTCTGTTAGCCAACTTCTGATGCAGGTTCTTTCTGCCCTTGTGGCAAAACAGAAAGAGTGGTAAGGACTGTTTAATAAGTTAACAGTAGATGTAAATGTAAATTAGCATCCAGGAGGTACCATGATGTGCTCTCCAAAATGCAGAGCCTAAAGAAGCTTGATACAGTTGCTGGCTGAGTTGAATTGCACGGGCCTTAGTAAAACACAAGTGTGGCATTGCCAAACTTAAGAATGCCAGAACTGCCAGAGATGAGGTGGATGGAGAGTTTCTTTATTAAATGCAAAATGCCCATTTTTAGTAAGTTTCTATATATTTGCTGTCCTGTTTTGGAATAACTGGGGGATGCTTGCTTGGTTCCTGGTTTCTCTCTAATTAGGAATGCTGGTTCCCTGATAGCTAATGCAGTGCAGTTGAGTACAAGCCTACGAATATCCTGTTTCAACAGAATAAATGCGAGGTATCTGGCAGTCAGCCACCCTTCCAAGAGAAAGGTGAGCTATTCTGTGTAAGAAACCCAAAGTTCTCAGGAACCTGCTGCCACCTGTGTGCAGTGTGCTTTCTTGCACAGCAGTAGCTCATCCTTCTTTCTGGGCTTGGAGGGGTCTCCTGGTGCCAGCAGCCAGGTCTCAGTGCAAGGCTCAGGCTCCTCGTGGTGAGAAATAGTGAGGCATGTAGAGAAAACGCCACAGGTCGCTGTGCTGCACCGCTTTGTCTGCAGAAAGCAAAGAAATATGAAGATAAATCTGGGCTTACTGCCCTTTCTGACAGCTTCTCTGCCTGTTTCTGATCACCAAGGTGTGTTGTATGGGGATGCTTCTGCTTCTCTCAGCAGCCAACCCACAACTTGTGCCAAAGCAAGTGCTGGACGGCAGTATTTCTGGTCCTAGGGGAGAAAGAGGTGATGGCATCAGTGCTTAAAGTGGCTTTAAGATGCAGTGTGGTGGAGTGGTCCTTCAGGTGCCACAGGAGAAACCTGAGAACCACAGTTCATGGTTGTTAGTTTCACGAAGTAAAGAGTAAGGATGCTGAAGAGAGTTCTAGTTTTGTTTCCATCTGGAACAGTCACCATTCACCTAAATGCTGGTGTTGGAATAGCATCAACTCAGTTTGCACTTCTGTGGTTAAGAAGTGTTTATCCTATTTATAAGGTTGTGTTTATAAAAGCAAACTAACATAGGCTGTGTTGTTTTTGCCATTCTCAGTTGGCATCCAGCGTAGCCTCCTGCTTTGTTTTGGTCTGTTGTGCCAGGTTTCCTTTGTGTTATTCCCACTTAGTAAGCCTGACTTCTTAATTACATGAATAAAGCTTAAAAGCTCTTTTTGTCATCACCTGCCAGGGTAGAACTGTGGCTGTACTGTAGCTTTAAGTCAGAAGTGTGCACAAGTTACAGAACTGAGGTTGTAAATCTCTATCACATCACGTACCCAGCAGCAGGGTGGTTCACTAATGTTATCACCTGCTACTTAACAAGTTTATTGTGCCCTTGTTCCTTTGCAAAGTGAGATTTCAAAGTGCTGCAAATTGCTTGAAGGTGTTTTGAATGCTGGGCAGTGCTTTGCATGCTGAACTCTAACCTGGATTTGTTTCACTCCTGCAGGATAAACAGTGCTATACTAGAAATACTGCTCACCACCTTGCAAAGTTTGGTTTCCTGACTTGGCTGCTGTTAAGCTTTCTCCCCAGCTCAATTATGTCAGGGGAACCAAGCTCTTTATTTGCTTAATTTGGTAGCTCTGCTTCATTTCCTTTGTGTTCTTCTGCCACAGTTCCCTTTCTGTTGCTGCAGCCCCCATCTTGCTCTCACTTGTTTCTCCTACCTGGATTTTAAGTTGAAGGCTGTCAAGGCAGTGACGACGCTGTCCGAGCTCAGTGCCTTTTTGGAATGACTCCAGAAATTCCAGCTGAAGGGAAGAATTAGGGTGCTTTGAGTTAATCTTTGCAAATCCTGCAGACAGAGAGTTGAAATCCATACTAACAGGGGCTTAACAGTAATCTCCTGCAACTGTGGCCATAAGCAGACACCTTGGCTCTGGCTGTGCTGGTAAGGATCCTACAGAGCCTGATGCCTTTGTCCTGGTAAAGCTTGGGGTAGGGAGCTGAACTTAAGGGGCACTACCTCTGTGTCTTATGGCTGTGCTCCACCAGGAACAAGAGATATATTCCATGGGTTTGTGTTCTTTCCTCATGCTTCTCTCTGAACCTATCAGTGGAGTGATTAACGCTTCAAATGATGAACTGAAATATGTCACAGAAATAAAAAGAATTGTCCTAAGAAGGAGAAAAGCTAAAGGGGCAAAAGGAATCAAAATGTGGATGTTATCTGGACATTTACAGCCATAGTTCGAGCTGCTGACATATGAAGCGTCAGCTCTGCAGAACTGAGGATGAGAATAGGTCACAAAGACTGTTGGCTGTGTCCTGCAATTGTCCAGAAAAGCAAACACCATTCTGACATTTTCGGATAGTGTTGCTGTAAGTGAAACCCAGGAAAAGAAGTCTTGCAGGAACGTGGTGCCTGCTGTGGGGTACTGCCCCATCCCACGGATGGGAAGCGAGCTGTTGTTTGCAGCAGGGGAAGGGCAGCTGGTTGCCACAGGCAGGTGTGGGCATGCTGCAGGGAGCTGACCTTTGGATGGAAGGTTTCTCAATCGTGATTGTTGCTACGTGCTCCTATTGTGGCAAAGGGGATCAGCCCCTATCTGCGTGGCAAACCTGGAGCCTTCTGTGGAGTCCAGAGCAGCCCTGCAGGTGATAGCTCCATCCCTAGCTCTGCAGAGCTTCTTTCTCACATATCTGCTTTTTGCCACCCACCTGGCTGCTCTCCTGGTCCTCGTTGGGGTGCAGTGTAATTATGGAGCAATGCAGGAAGGGAGCAGGAAGGAGTTAGGGAAATGTCTTTTCTGTTCTAAAGGAAAGCCATGAAATAACTGCAAAATATCCTTTTTGGCTTTTGCATTGTGTGCGTGTCCCCTCCTCCCCCTCTTTTTCTTTCTTGATGTCACATACAAGACTGAGTGGGATGAGAGAAGGTGGTGTCACAGCTCATATGGGGACAGGGGATGGGGTAGGGGTCAGCAACACCAAGTCCAGGGAGGAGTTGCATGCTCCGATGTTTTGCTGAAATTCAGGTTCTCTCAAAATAGTCTTGTTTGTCTTTTTATCATTAACCAAAGTCAATACTTCATAGCTTTGACTCTGCTTTTGCATGCCAAAAGTGAATGGGAACCTATGTGAGCAGATGGCTCTGCTCTGGCAGGTTGGCTGTTTGGAGGGGAAACATGGAATTGGAGACTTATGAAGTGTGACCACAAGGGAAAGCTAAGGAAATTGGGAAATTGGGATTATTTCCTGTAGAAAAGAGAGGATACTGTGAGCTTCTGTGTTAAAGGATTATTATGATGTGCAAGAAAGTGTCAGAAGGAGGATTATGATTGGTTTGTTCTCTGACAGCTCAGGAGGGCTTAAGCTGCGTGGAGAGAGAGGTAGGACAGACTGCAGGAAGATGCTTCTGACTGTTCTGGCGCCACACCTGGAGACAGAGATTTCAAGAACAGGCTGCAGGGGCTTTCTGAAGGGTGCCTAGGGGATGTGTGATCCCACACCAGCTTTGGGGAGGGCTCAGAGGACCTGCTGAATTCCTTTCCATCCTGTGAGTGATTGCAGGTGTCCGAGCAAAGACTCCCAGGTGATGAATCGAATGAGTCTTTCCCTCCCCAGGGCTGAGGTCTGCCTCTTGAGTCTTTTACCCTTCTGGGTCTCCTGGTAAGCATGCAGACACCGGCCTAACAGTCCTGGCTGACCCATTGCTGGTGTTGTAGTTTGTCCCAAACAGTGACGTAGGTGTTGAAGGAAAACCCTGGGATTGGGTGAGTGCTCCAAAGACAAGCTCCACAGATATGCCACTTCTGTCCCTGTGCTTTGCATGTACTGCCTCACAGCTGGATTCTGTAGTTTGTTTGAAGTAATGTATTTCTTTTTATGTATCTTAGCACGGCAAGTGACTTATTGCCTTCCTCCCTATGCTGAGTTTGGTTCCTCTGCTCCACAAGTGCAAACTTCACTAGCTCTTCATCCAGCTAATGTGTGGGCATCTGCTCAGGGAGGAGGAGGTGTGCCTGGCATTTTGTGGCACAAAGAGTTTGGCTGGGGGAAAGTGCCCACAGGCTTTTCCCTGCCAGGAGGGCTCGTTCTGGGAGCTGGGCTTTGTTTTCTGCACCACTAGAGGGAAACCTCCTCCTTTGCATTGAAATGGAGGCGCTGCAGCTGCAGGATGCTGGAACAGCACGAAGACATACGGGTAATACACACATGGATGGTTGCTGGCTGCATGGCACAGGCAGTCTTGCTGTTGGAATAAAGTAAAGATTGTCGTAAGAAAATCTGTCAGTGTTTGGAGCCAAACAGTCAGGAAACAGTCCTGTGGGAGCCCCCACAAAGCGTCACAGTTCAGCTGTGTACACAACTCCTTTTCTCCTCCCCTCCTTAAGTATGGAACAAAATGAGTCACTAGGAAGTGTAGGGTCCTTCGTTATCCAGAAATATCTGTGAATTCTGCCAGCAGCTTGGACAGAGGACTCTAAGTGTCATTAAAAGGGAGACCACGGTTTCAATCCAGCATTTGAGACTGAGGGAGGTGATGCCTCAATAACTGCTTGAATTTGGATCTCTGGTGGGTGCAAGCTTTTCCAAAATTAATGACTTTGTCATAAGCCGTGTTCTAATTTGAAAGCCTGGGTTTTTTTCTAATAACTTTTGTCATGCACAGTGCCCAGGGTAGGACTCGTGCTGGTATTCAGTTGAAAGCATCTCTTTAGCAGTGTTTTAGCTGCTAATGGATTTCTCTTAGGTTGTGCATTGCAGACGATGTCCCGTTATTTGGGGGTAGCTGGCGCCGGAGCTGTCAGGATGTCAGGGTGGGACTCGTGTAAGCAAAGTGTGGGTAACAGATCCGTTGCCTTCCATTTTAAGAGTGACCTTTAGCTTGCTGGAGGCTGCAAAATGCTGCCGTGCCTGTGGGAGGCTTTTCCTCCAGGGCCACGCAGATCTGCTGGGCTGGCAAAAACGCTGTGCAGCGCATCGGTGTGCGTGAGCCGGTGCTGAGCTGCGGACGGAGGGCAGGCGGACGGACGGCGCCGGCGGTGATAGCACAGAATGGTGAAGGGCCGTGCCTGGAGGGAGCAGAAGGTGGAGGAGGAGGCAGAAATCACCTTTTGCTGAGTGCTGGGAGAGCAGCGTGGGGTCGTGTGTTCTTTGTGACATTGATCCTCCACGGCAAGTGCAGAGAAACATCTTCAGTTACAGGAGCCGTGTTCAGCTCAACGTTCAAGGAGCTATTTTTGGGTGCTCGGCAGCTCTGCTGAGCTTCTGTCCAGTAGGTGTGCCATTGCTGGTGTCAAGACTGACACGTTTTTTAAAAAATTATTCTTTTTCTTTTGTATTTAATCGTAGTTTACTTCTTAAATGCATTTATTTGAAGAAAGAACATGGAAGCTGGTCCTCTGCCTCTGCTGACTGTGCCAACAGCTCCTTACAATGATCAGAAACCAGGAACCAGCGGATTACGGAAGAAGACCTATTATTTTGAATCCAAAATGAACTATTTGCAGAACTTTATCCAGAGTATATTTTTTTCTATAGACCTCAGAGATCGACAAGGATCTTCTATGGTAGTTGGAGGTGATGGAAGGTACCTTAATAAGGCTGCAGTGGAACTGATAGTCCAAATGGCTGCTGCCAACGGGGTTGGTAAATGCTATATGACTAAATTCCTGTGGTTGTATAGCTGATAAATGCAGAAAACCAAACCAAATTTGTCAGTGGGAGATTGAATTTTCCCATAGATTTTACTCAATTGCTAACAGAAAACATTTCAATGGAAAATCATACTGAAATTACTGTTAGTTACTGTTAAAAGAAAGCTAGCACTGGGTGGAAACCTGTACAGCGATTTCTGGTTGTGTGGGAAGCAGGTGAGCCAGGGCTGTTTGCAGCAGAGCATGGCTCAAGCACCGCAGTGCTCTTGGGCACTGGGGCTGTATCTGTGTTTCCTGTTGCTTTTGAAGAAGAAAAGGCTTTGCTGTCTGTTCTGTGTTTCCTAATGCAGAGCAAAACTTTACACTGAGAGATCTGGCTTATGGGAATGTGTTTGACAGGAAAGCTTATCCGATCACAACAGGGTGATTTGTAATAAGCAATTGAATAAGAAGAGAGAGAGATATATTTTTCTAAATCAAAATGTTTTCCAGCTGGAAAAGAAAAATCCTCTGGCATTGCAAATTAATGTGTTCCTCTTAAGTCAGTGTATGGGCTGAGTCAAAGAGCTGGAAGACATGCACAAAGCAAGAGCCAGGCCTGCTGCCTGGGCTTCTCCGCACCAGGACAGGTTTCCTGTTGGTGAAGATGAGATTAAGCTGATCTGCATCAGCTGAGACTTCTCTGTTGCATTTCTTTCCAGCATTGTGTCCCGTGCCTGGTTGAAAACAAGTTTTGCTGTTGAGTTTGGTATTTTTTGTTAGTTATTTTTAAGTAGTCTGGCTAAAGCGTGTGACTTTGTTAATCAGTTCTGTGCTAATCTTGCTCTGTAGAGTAGGAGGGATGAGTCTGAGGTTGTGTTCCACTATAAAAAGCCACAAGGGAGGGCATGCATGTCGTAGTTTGGATGTGCAGAAGTGTCTGTCGGCATGTGGCAGAGACAGGTGCTGTCACCTCTGCAGATGTGGGATCAGCAGGATTTCCGAGCAGCACCGAGCGCGTTCCCTGTGCCAAGTGTGGAAAGCATGGTTTTGGGGGTGAAGAACATCAGGAGCATCAGTCTGTGTCATTGGGGTGTGGAGGGGACCCGTGGGAGGTCCTTGCTGCTGAAACAAAGCATGAAGCAAAGAGAAAGCCAAACCTACATAGATCAGGCTGCTACAAATTCGACGTATGGCACAATGCATCCTGTGATCTAGGTAGTTGGTGCTGTAAGGGCAGCAATACCCTGACCAGCTGGTAGAAGGGCTCTCACACCTCACACTGGGTTTCTAAGCTGCTGTTTCAGGTCTGTGCCCATGGCTTGCTGGAGACTGGGCGTCTCAGCTTCCTACTTTCCTGGCAGCTGTGGGGCTTAGTGCCCAGCAGTGCCACAGCCAGGAATGGCAGCCATCCCACAGAGCCAGCTTAGCACGTGTGGGGGATTCAGGCTGGGCAGGCTGGCTTTTGTCTTCTGGTTCCTCTTGCCTTTGAATGAAATTCCTCCTCTTTTCTCAGCTGTATTCACAGTCTAATCTCCTTGGCTGATGGAGAGTGGTCTGGTGTATTTTTAAATCTCTATCACCTCATTTGGGGGCTATGGTGAGGGGCATGTTCTCCTAGAAAAACATTTATCTTCAGTTTTACTATGTGGACCCCAGCAACTGAATTTTGATTACCTTGTGCTGCTTAGCACGTTGCTCTGGATTTAATCTCAGTGATATTACCAAATTTATGGGAGGGAGGTGCGTTACCCGCTGAGAGTAAGAGAATCTGCATGTGGTCCCATGGGAGCAGTGATGATGATGGACTTTTGTTTTGCTTTGGCTTCTCTCAGTCCCATTGTGTCTTTTGAAAGCAGTGTTCGAGACCACAGGCAAAGGTTTTTTTTTGTTTCATTTAGATGCCTCTGGAAAGCTCTGCTCTTCAGTGCAGGATGCCATTTCCAGTGCTCATAAACGAGAATGCTAAAAAGGCATGGCAGAGCAGGGTCAGATGCTGATCTTCTAGTGATATAGCAGAGAGCTTGCAGCCTCTCAGGTTCAAAATGTTTGCTTCAGGACCTCTGCCATCCAGGTGCCCCTGACGAGGCCCTGCTTCACCTGTTGCTGTTGGGGTGTTTGGTGCTTTGGCTGTATTCAGAATTTGAGTCTCAAAGTAGTTTGTTCTGCCCTTTGATTTTCAGATTGGCCGTTTGGTCATCGGGCAGCACGGCATTCTCTCCACCCCAGCAGTGTCCTGCATCATCAGGAAAATCAAAGCCATCGGTGGCATCATTCTGACAGCAAGCCACAATCCTGGTGGGCCCCATGGAGATTTTGGGATTAAATTCAATACGGCCAATGGAGGTAAAGTTGCTTAGTTGATTCTTGTTTGCTTTGTTTCTGCTTGACTTGCCTTGTGTTGGCAACAAAGAACCCAATTTAATTGTTTTAACATCGCAGAAGTTCAGTGAGTGGCCTGAGCAGTGGGTTTCCCTGAACATGGAATTGGTGTGGTTAGAGGTGGCAGGGACCTCTAGGTTCATCTGGTCCAACCCCTGCTCCAGCAGTGACACCTAGAGCAGCTTGCTTGAGACCACATCCACAGTAATCAATTTGCTCACTGGTATTCTCTCCCAGCGAGGCATTCCGAGCCCCAGGCCTGCTGATCTACCTCTGCATTGCTCTTTCCTCACGCTCTGTTTCTTTAACTTCTTCCCCTTGCCCATTATATCTTGTAGGTCCTGCTCCAGAAGGAATCACAGACAAAATTTTCCAAATTAGCAAAAAAATTGAAGAGTATGCAATCTGCCCGGATCTCAAGGTGGACCTGGGTACCATTGGAAAACAGCAGTTTGATTTGGAGAACAAATTTAAACCCTTTACAGGTAAATGACTGCTCTTCCCCTTGAGAAGTTTCCTTTCAGGTGAAGCTGGCATGGGCCTCCGTAGGACAGGGACGCTTGGTGCTCTGAAGGGCATGTGGTCTGACCTTCCCTTCTCATCTATTGGATAATCCAAGCAAGAATATCTGTCCTGGTCATCATGGATTTATTTATTTTATTTTTTGCCTTCATCTCACCTTGTCTAGATATTTTAATTGTATTGTTTCTGTTCACTCATCCCATTAGTTGCAAAGGTGCAGATTTTAAGGCTGTCAGGTGCACAATTCATGCTGATGTTGGTGGAGATTGGAAGTCTGTTTTTATATGCATTTTTGTTCCCTCTAATCCCACTCTACACATAACTGGAGTGGAGTGGAAACTTCTCAAAGGATGTTTGGGGAGCTGAGGCTGTGGCTGGGGGCTGTGACTAGCAGAGAACTGGGGAAGATGTTTGTCTTCAGGATTTTGTTGGTCTGTTTGGTCAGTAATCCCATTAGCAGTGGCAGCCCATAACCAAATGTTTCTTAATACAGGAATATTATCATCATCTTTGTGAAATGATTCTATGGGATGCTTAAAGGCTCTGTGCTGAGCCCTGGCCCTTTGCACTGAGGACTGTCAGCACAGTGGCTCACGTACTGAAATTGCTTTTCTGCATAGAGTTCAGATTGTCTGAGTTAGTTTCTCTCTGTTTTTTTGTTTTTTTCCCAGTGGAAATTGTGGATTCTGTAGAAGCTTATGCAAGTATGCTGAGGAACATCTTTGACTTCAATGCATTAAAGGAACTGCTTTCGGGGAAAAACCACCTCAAGATTCGCATTGATGCAATGCATGGAGGTATGGGTGGGCTTGGCTCTGCTGGTCTGTAGGGTTCTGCCTCCTACTTCCCAGAGAAGGCTTTTCCTCACTTTTTTGTTACTGATGTTTGAGAGCAATAAGTCCTGCTGTGCTGCTGGATTGCTGTGAATCAGACATGCAGTTTGTCGTCTTGTCATTCTGATGCCTCAGTGTACTTGAGGCGTAAGTCATTCTTTACCCTGTGCTTGATTCCTTTCTTCCCACATTTTCCTATGGCAGTTGTGGGCCCTTATGTGAAGAAGATCCTGTGTGAGGAGCTGGGAGCACCAGCAAACTCTGCTGTGAACTGCACCCCACTGGAGGACTTTGGTGGCCACCATCCCGACCCCAACCTGACCTATGCTGCTGATCTGGTCCAGACCATGAAGACAGGAGAGTACGACTTTGGAGCTGCCTTTGATGGAGATGGGGTAAATGGGCTGCTCTGTGTTCATCTTTTTGCCCCTGATGTAGAAGGGAGGATGTTGGCTGAGGAGGATGAATGTGAAGGCTTTGTTCTCCTCTCCCTTCTTAGCTGCACATGGATGAGAACCACTCGATGCAGATCACAACTGTTGGCAGTAGTTGACTAATGTGTAAATAGTGAAGTCCAAACTGTATTTAAATGGCTCTAAAGGTTATGTTTCTCTTGTCTTCGTCAGGACCGCAACATGATTCTTGGCAAGCACGGCTTCTTTGTGAACCCCTCTGACTCCGTTGCTGTCATCGCTGCCAACATTCTCAGTATCCCTTACTTCCAGCAGACCGGGGTCCGTGGCTTTGCCCGCAGCATGCCCACCAGCGGGGCTCTCGACAGGTAGCACCTACCTCTGCACAGTGCCCTGACAAGGCAGCAGCTGTCCTTTTTCTGTGCCTGACACGTGTCCGTAGTGGGGAGAGTTCTGGGGTCACTGAAACGTAACGCATTAAATTCGGTTTGAGGGCATGGCAGAGCTGGGTTCTGCTCTTGGCTCTCTTTTGTCTATATGGATATGGTCCACCCCCTCTCCCCTCCCCACTTTGTGTTTTTTAAATTTTAATTTTAATCTGATAATCTATTTGTGAAATGCTTTGACATCTACAACTGCAAATCAATTTAGAAGAGCTGTATATACATATATATATTTATCTTTAGTTGTTCTTCCCAACAACCTCCTAAAAGGTAACACCAGGATAAAATGCTGCATTGCTGTACAAAGAGCAACTCTTAATAAAGCAGAGACGCAATCTGCTTTTAGTGTTGCCCCTCAGGAGATGTGTGGTAACTGCTGGGGCTCCTGCTGCAGTGTTTCACATGGGTGCACTAAGCCCAGCTGTGTGTGACGTAGCCTTCTTGCCTTCTAAGGGTGGCCCACGCGACAAAGATTGCTTTGTATGAGACTCCTACTGGCTGGAAGTTCTTTGGAAACTTGATGGATGCAAACAAACTGTCTCTGTGTGGAGAGGAAAGTTTTGGTACTGGTAAGTGGGTGTTCCTGATCTCACTAATGGAGGCACTAGTCCTCTTCGTAGTTCTTTACTGTGCTGGCCTACTTGGGGTTTATCTTTCACGTGAGGTTAATACTTCTAAAATCATTGAACAAAAAAGCTTACAAGCATCCCTAGTGAAAGCATACACAGTGCTCAGAGTTCTGTCAGGCAAAAGAATCCCTGGTGAAAGCATACACAGTGCTCAGAGTTCTGTCAGGTAAAAGCTCATTCTCTTTCCAGAATGCATAAGGAGATATGCAGGAAGTCTAAGGGCCTCTTTACTAGCCCGGTCATTGAGTCTATGGGGATTAAGTGCAGCGTTAAATGTATTTTTCAACTCTTGGTGGCCAGGAAAACCTTCTAAATGTTTTCATTTCTGGAAAGAAATATGGTTTGGAGCATGCAGTTTTATTAGGGGAGGTTTCAGGTCACTATTAAATCTCCGAGCTTAATAGGGCCCTCATTTTCCTGTTCTAAAAACAAGGTATGATTTATAAAGTTTAAATTAACACTTGCCTTTGAACAGTCGGAGCGAGTGATTGGGTTACTGAGAAACAAAGCGAGCATCTTTAGGAATTTACCAGGGGTGCAGCGTGATGCATGGCTGTTATTGGTGCAGGCTCTGCACCCTGCCTGCAACGTGCGGTGCTGTGTGGCTGCTAGGCTGCAGCCTGGTTGCCTCGTGGCGTCTGCCCACCGTTCTGGGCTTTGTCTGGCCTGGGTTGTCCTTAAGATCTTGTTCTTCCATTGTGTGTAGTGCTCAGGGGCAGCCAGAGGTGCAGGGCTTGGGGAGATCATATTTTAGCCTGCTTTAAGGTGTTTCATGGAGCAGGAGTGGCTTCAAATACCAGACATGAAGTGCTTTGTGGATCCCTGTCACAAAGTGTTACCACCTGAGCTTTTTGGTAGCTGAGGACATGGCACTGCAGACTAGCTGAAAGCTGGTTGCCGTGAGGCTGAAGAAGTCACCGGGGCAAAACTTTTGCAGGCAGATGCTATTCTAATAAACAGAACTAGGCCTCAGTCTGGAAGGAAAGGGGAATTTTGGGTAACTTTGGTATCTCTGTAAAGATAACTTGAGGGTAATTGTGAGCATAGGAGGATTTTGGAGTTTAGCCCTGAATGATTTCAGCATGCGTTAAGTTTATGTCGCGGCCTTTAGCTGATGAGAGTGGCTCAGCATTTAGAAAATACAAACAACAGCAGCAAATGATTCATGGAGCTGCTGATAGGAGCTGGGCTCTAACGAGCAACTCTCTGAAATTGCTTCCATCTTCTGTCGCATGTGCAGTGAGCTCATGGTTTCCCTCCAGCCTATGATAGGTAGGTGACTACATTGCCAATAAAAGTGACTGAAACCACTTGCAGTGGGGCTGAGAGGGAGGCTCGATGTTTTGGCTGTGCTGCATCACACCTGGGCTGCACGCTGGGGTCGTTGTTGGGGGAACACTGGGAAAGGGCCGGGGCAGCCTGTGCTGGGCTCCCTGCAATGCAGAGGGCGTTTGTCTGTCTGGCAGAGGCCCTTTAAAGAATGAAATGGGGTGAGGGAGGTTGTTCGATAGCAATTTAATGAGGAGTTGTTTGGAGTCTGACAGTGTGAGTGCTGAATGGGAGCAAGGTGAAGGAGCAGCCAAAGAGACCCAGTAAAAATTGAAACAAACTGCGACCCGGCGGGACCAGGGTCCAGCAGCAATTAGAGTAATGCGACGTGACAGAATTCCTGCTTGTTTTCTGGGGTGTTTTATTCCAGCAATAAGTTGATACATCACATGGGACTCCTGTTTATTTAGCATTCCTCTCCATCACCTCTGCGCAGCTCTCAGCTGTGCAGGGCTGTGAGGATAATTTACCACCGCATCCACAATGTGGGGTTTGTGTCTCGCACCTCGTGGCCCCAGCTGATTTTCTGGGGGGTGAAATGGTGGCTCTGGCCAACTCCCCCCATTGGCAGGTGTGCCCTGGCTCCTTGGGGTTTTGGTAATACTAGCCTGCATGTTTTCCAGAGCCCAAAGGATAAAACCCAGAAGCTGTGCATTGAGCCTAGCACTGAGCTAACCAGTCAGGAAGATGGAGGCTGGGTTGGGTCTGCTCTGGCTGCTGTTGGATCCCACATTTAACTCTGGTATTTGAGGCTGGGATGAATCGATCTCCTTGTGTGAATGAAGTCCTCGTGCTGCTGCCCCTGTGGCTGCTGTGCTCCCCAGCACCCTGCAGTCTTGGAGCCATTAGGGTTTGGCTTCCTCAGCGAGGGCTGGCATTTCTCTTGGTGCTCAGCCACCGCCTGCACCATCAGGGTGTACTGATTTGGCACAGTGTGTGACAGCTGCTCAGAGAGGCTGATGGTAGCTCTTGAGCTGCTCCTTTGCATTTGCTTATTTATTTATTTAGTTAGTTAATTAGTTCCATGACCTTTTTAGTGCACATTCCCCATTGCTTCCTTGGGAACAGAATGAAGGATCTGTGAGCAATGACTATGTTTTAAAGGGAACTGAGTGTTTTATTTGGGCTATAGCTGAAAGCAGATGATATCTTGAACTGCTTTAACAACACACGAGCATCCTGCTTGTGAAATGCTTTCCATTTGTGGGGCTGTACTACTGCCAGCTTGGTGGAAGAGCAGAGGTGAAGCAGAGCTGTGCACAGGCTCTGGCCTGGCAGGAGGACAACATAATGTGTCTGTGCTGTGGTTCTCTGCAGGCTCCGACCACATCCGTGAGAAGGATGGGCTCTGGGCAGTCCTGGCCTGGCTGTCCATCCTGGCTGCCCGCAAGCAGAGCGTGGAGGACATCATGAAGGATCACTGGCATAAGTATGGCAGGAACTTCTTCACCAGGTGAGGAAGTGCTCCGGGCACCTCGTCCTTCCCTCTGCCCTGTGGCCAACCAAGGATGAGCCCTTAGGAAGGAGCTCAACAACCTGAGCACCAGCCTTGCTACCACAGCAGTTTCTGCCTCGTTGCACATGCTTTTTTCTGAGTTGTTGCAGTGTTTGAAGCTCCCTGGCTAGTTTGTGCAGCTTCTGTGAGTCCAATAAAGCTGTGGGTATTCACCTTAACCTTTCATGATGTCCAGGTTAGAATTTGTTGCTCTGAATACAATCTATTCATTATCAAACTTGGCGAAGGTTGTGCAACTTTTCTTACATCTATCTGATAGGTAGGGGTTTTTAAAGTTATTTATTTAATGGAGATCTTTTCTTGAATTTAGGGTTAGGGTAAGAATTTTTCCTACTTTAGAGCAGTGTGCTTCTTTAGTTTACGTCTTACAAATTATTTTGTAATATCTTGAGCGATGACTTTGCCTCACTGAAGGGGCACCCAGCTCCTAGACAGTTATTTACCTGGTTGAATTTCTGTCCAGTTCCAAAATACTTTTACTTTAAACTACTGTAGACACAGGAGATGAAAAAGGAGAACTGACCTGCACATGAGCAGAAAAGGGGATGCTATCTGGAGTGAGAGTATTAGGGTAGAAATCTTTCACTTTGGAAGACCTACATGAAATTTCTGTCTTCAATTGCTAAATGTAAGAACTTTTTTTTTTTTTTTTTTTTTTTTTTTTTTCCATACCACAAAGCCAGCATACATCTAAGGCATTTAAAGCTGTGGAAGAAGTGCCAAAATCTGGTATAAAAAGATAGTCTGCGAGCACCAGAGAGATGTCTGCGTAGAAAGCTAGGTGGAGGGGGAGGCAGCTAGCAAGCCTGTGCATGCTGTGTCTGGCTAGCTGGGCAAATAAAAGCAGTGCAAATCACACTGGCAATCAGAGTGGAGTCTCGGGTCCTGATCTGTGCACACGCTGGAGCTGCTGCACTTTCTGCTTCTCTTACTTACATTAGCTAGATCAAAGCTGGCACTGGGTGTTATCATGTGCTGGGATCACACCTTTGCTTTGCTGTGGGGACACACTGAGGTGCTCAGGCAGATCTGTTATCACGAGGAGCCTGTTGAGATCCTATCAGAATAAATGCTTTGCAGTCAGTGTTGGAGTCTGGCCCTGCGTCTTTCTCAATTTTAGATGTATCTGAGATAGGTTGCTGTGTATCCCACAGATTTGTGTTGTGCTCATACACTGCTGCATGTACCCTCTCCTTTCTTCTGGTCCTTGTCTCCGGTATGAGTAGAAAACATGGGGCTGATCACAGCGTTGTTAAACAAGGACATTGCAGAACACTGCTGCTAATTACACACCTTCCTAATCTTTGTTTCTACTGTTGTAGATACGACTATGAGGAGGTGGATGCAGACGCAGCTGGTAAAATGATGAAGGATTTGGAGGCTGTGATGTTTGACCGCTCCTTTGTGGGGAAGCAGTTATCAGCTGGTGACAAAGTCTACACGGTTGAGAAAGCTGATAACTTTGAGTACCACGATCCCGTGGATGGAAGCGTCTCCAGAAACCAGGTGGGCACAGTGCTGCTTGGGGTGGCCGTGGCCTCTGAGAGATGAGTGCTGAATACTGGGCATCTTTGTTCACCGCATCTGGCCCTTTCTCTGAAGTCAAGGAGTGCATCTGACCCTTGGAAAAGGTTTTTCTCCCCTGCGTTGGCCAGCGGGATCTTGGCCTTTGTGAAGGGATGGGGAGGGGATGCTAGGAGAGGGAAGGCTGCTGGGAGCAGGGCCAGGCTGGGTACCTCAGACCGTGCCTGGGTACCTGAGGGGCACGTGGCTGAGCAGCTCTGCTCCTCTCTCCCCAGGGCTTGCGGCTCATCTTCTCCGATGGCTCTCGCATCATCTTCCGGCTGAGCGGCACCGGCAGCGCTGGAGCGACCGTGCGGCTCTACATCGACAGCTATGAGAAGGATGCTAAGAAGATCCACCAAGACCCACAGGTAGGTGTTAAATCTGAGGCGTGGCGCCGCTGGTTCGCAGCCTTACTGAAAAGCATGGATCTTTGCTTAGTACTGCTTTGCTTAGAGCCGTGCGCTGGGTGTTTTGGAAGGAAGGGCTTTGATGTCTTCAATCCCAGTGTAAATAGCTTTTAAAAAAGCTCTGTGTGGAACAAGCATTACTTATTCAGAATCTCTCACAGCTGCTTTTGCAGTCACGCATTAGTTTTCCTGTTTACGTTACATCTGCGGCTGATTCCAGGTGTGGAAGGACGCTTTCCAACCTGAACTGACCTTCTGGGCAAAACGTTGCTTCACTAGGGATAGGACGAGCTCATTTCTGTGCATCACCTAATACTGAAAGAATCCTCGTTTTCTGTCCCCAGCAAATAGAACTCTTTGTGCACGGCTTGCTGTTTTTGACAAAGGCATAAAAAACGTGGGAGGTGGAGGCGATGCGCGCAGGCTGCGCGTGGTGCTCTGCCCCAGTCCTGAGCCATCTCTCCCCTCTTGCAGGTCATGCTGGCTCCTCTCATTTCTATTGCACTGAAACTCTCACAGCTTCATGAAAGAACCGGCCGCACCGGTCCCACTGTTATAACATAAAGGCTCATCCTGGCACCAAGGGAAAGAAGCCAGCCCGTCGCCTCTTTTATTGTCGGGTCTGTCGCTATAAAAGGAATATTAATTTTATCTGTGTATTTAAGAACACTGCCCGCTACAGATAGACAATAAAAACCAGCTCCTGTCAACACTTTGTGTGCACACTGCTGTGCTGCTTTTCTGCGTCACACAGCACTGCTGGCACGTCGGTATGGTGCTCGTTAGCTCAGCCTGTTGGGTTAGCATATGTACTTCTTTTTCCTTTGCTTAAACAAAAGGCTCTAGAAATAACAAAGAACCCAACTCCCTGAATTACTGATGAATGTATTCTCTCTCTTGGACACTTTCCTGGAAAAGAAGCGCACTTTACCCTTGTTAATATGTTGTCTTTAAAATTTGATGTCTCTCAGTAAGCAATGGACGTGCATTAATACTGAGTATTTTTCACTCGCGTGGATTTTTTCCCCTTCAAAACAAATTGTGTACATTGCTCTCTATTTGCCTTGCTATCTGTATAAGAAAAAAACCACAACACAACCTCCTCAAGAAATAAGCAGTAACAGTCATTGCAGGATATTAAAGTGGTATGAGCTACAATTACTGTTCAGCGTTCTTTTATTTTCTTGCACCGTGATCTTTTGAAGACCAAAGGACTGTTTTGATGAGGTTGTTCGGTAGAATGGCAAGATCCTTGGAATGATCACAGTTGCGTGCATTGATGTGCTAAGTCTTTTCCAAGGGCATGGAGGAGGTGACTTTGGAAACAGCTGTAGCTGCTGAGTGTCAGTGCAGCTCCCTGCCCTCGTGCTGGGGCTGTCCTCTCCATGCTGAGCTGGGTCCTGCTCCCATCCTGGCCTGCTGCCATCGTGCTGGGGAGGATTGAGGTGTGCTTGTGTTGCCCTCAGCCACCAACGTAATGCCCTCCAGCACAGGGGCTTGAGCAGGTAAACCCAGCTCAATCTCCCCTTTCTTTAGGCTGTTAAATGGTGTTGATAGAATTAGTTGCATCGGTGGGAGTGATGTTAGGGGGTTTTCCCTCTTTTGCTTTGTGTGCCTTTGTCACCCAAGCCCTGGCTGGACTGCACGGTGCAGGGAACGCTGCCCACACAGCTGAAATTCAGGCTGGGTCCCTGGGCAGGCCTGAGGGAATGGCTCTGTTTTCCAGGAATGTGAAGCATCCCACCTTTGCCCTCTGCACAAACGCTGCCAGCAAAACTTCTGAAGTTGATGCAGATGTGCTGACAAAAAGCTCTTTATCTCGTCTTCTGTACAGAGGTGAGGTGTCTCTTCTGACAAACAGACCTTCTGCTAAATCCATGCTGGCAGCTTTTCTGGCAGAGCTGTTTTCATGGAATCACAGACTGGTTTGGGTTGGAAGGGACCTTAAAGCCCACCCAGTTCCAACCTCTGCCATGGGGCCAAGAGGCTTGCCCAGGGCCCCATCCAGCCTGGCCTCCGCGGATGGGGGAGCCATCTGTTTTGAGTCAGGACAAGTTAAAACCTAAGCCTCCCCAGCCTTGCTGCTGCTCATGGTGTGCCTGAGCCCTGCTGCTGGAGCTCTGGTCCTCAGCAGCTGTGTGCTGGTGGGAATGCCTGTCACTTAATGAAGCACAAGGAAAGAAATGCTGTGGCTTTTGCATTCAGAGAAGAAAAGGAAAAAACACTGGATCTGACCCAATTTGTGTGTGAAAGTGAAGTTCAGTGTGGTCCAGCCCATGCTCATTGCTTAAACCCTCATGCACAGAAAGGTATCAGAGGGGGGCCTGTGCAATCCAGGCTGAGTCCAAGGTGTGAGCATGGTGCTTTTGGGGACTTTGATCCCCTCAGTCAGAAAGGATGCCTGGCTGGGTCTGGAGAGGAAATGCCTTTCGTTTGGCAGTCACTGCCTTGAGCCTTCTCTGGGTGGCACTGGCCACATGTAACCCCCTGGAGTGCCTCCTGGGTCACTTCAGGCCAGGCCCCGCCAGGATGGCAGAGGAGCACAGGTGACACAGAACTAAAACCTGCTGTGTTTTACTCTGCTGTCACATCTCTGCTCCTTTGCCTTCCCCTGGTGCAGCGCACATGGGGCTTGTCTGCCCCTTTTTCTGTTCAAGCAAATCGCTGCTGGGAAACCTCCTTTTGAGCTATTTTCTAACGTGTACTGGCAAATACTGATTTCACTCTTGTGATAGATGTCCTCCTTCCCTGAGAGCTGGGCTGTGTAAAAATGTCCCATGTCTGCAGCTGTCCTGTACTCTTCCCTTTTAATCTGCAGTGGAGGTTTGTTATTGTGTGAATGAAGCACTGGGTCTTTAATGAAGGATGCTGCTTCCACTCCACGTCAGGAATCATTAGTGCAGACACTGCTGGGACTTGTTGCTAAAGGAATGGGTTTGCCAGTGCCCAAATTAATCCAGGAACTGCCTGGCTTCTGAGCACTCAAAGCCTAAATCTACTTGACAGCTTCTGGAGGGACAAATATGGTGTGGAAATATTTGATCTCTCAGCCAGCTAATAACTTGAAAACAATGTAAGTCAGTGATTATAAAATGCTCTGAGAGACAAAAGGAGAATTTACATTTGCATCGTAGAGCTTCAGTCCAGCGTGACTCTCAAAACAAGCTGCAGTTGCAGATAATGCATTTGTACTTTGTGTGGACATCTTCACCTCTCAGAGCCCCTTGGAAGCCGGGTCACGTCCTCCTGGTGGCACAGACTGGGGTGACCCGGTGCTGTGTGCACTGCTGACACAGAGAGGCTGGTGTGCCATTTGGGGGGAGCAGTGGAGCGGTATTATCTGTGCCACGTGTGCTCCTCCCGACACAGCCACGTTCTGGGCAAGTGAATGAAAGCCCATTCCTTGGGGCTTCGGCAGTGTGTAACATCTCCAGGGCCAGGCACAAAGCTTCCTGTGCTCTCACAGCTTTGCCGTGGGTACGGTTGCTCCTTCCCCTAAAGCACAGCACGTTGCCCCACCAGCTCGCTGAGCAGCACGCAGCTCTCGGCCCAAGTGCCAGCAAGCTCACTGTGAGCACACAGCAAACGAAGGCCAGTTGCTAGGATAAATCACTTAGCTCCAAGGGAGACCCTCACCTGAAGCTACCAGGTTTCGTTATTCATCATTTTCTCTGGAAGTTCACTTTTGCCCTGGGGCTGCATTACTGTGCGTTGCTTCCAAGGCTGCGGCTGCCTGCAGCAGCAGAGCAGTGTGCTCAGCCCATGCTGCTCTCACTGGGCAATGGAGGTGTTTGCAGAGCCTCAGCCCCTCCGAGCTTCTGAGTATTTGCATGAAAAATTACCACTGCTCTCTTTGCTTCTCTTCAGGCTCAAGCTGTAGGCTGCTGTCCCAAAGGAGCCTAATCAGATCCAGATGTCTCACCAGTTGTATGTGTTTTTTAATCTTTATCCCAACTTCACATAAGGCAGTATCTGATTTCTACATGCAGTCTCCACCGCCCAGAAACGAAAATACATCTCAAGCAAAAAGCAAGACATTCAAGGAGTGGAAGTCCTCCCAGGAGTGGAAAGAAGCACCAGATCTCAGGTTTCTTGTCTCAGCCTCGGAGCCAGAAGCCGGGTGCAGCGGTGGCAGGGTCACTCTGGCACTTGGGATGATGGTTTGTTCTGCTGGGATTGGTGAACGGCGAACCCACCACCTCTCTGGGCACCTTGTGCCAGTGCCTCGCTGCCCCTGTAACAAAAAAAATTGGATCTGGGAGGATTGGGGCCAGCAAACCTGAGCTGGGGCTGGGGAGGAGCAGGGCCGTGTGGGTGAGGAGGAGGAAGGTGAGTTAACAGCAAGGCTCAGGAGCTGGTGCTGCATGGAGGTGAGGGGCACAGGATGATGTATGGACACCAGAAGGAGTTCAAGTTTCAGAGCAATGATTGGTGGCGCAGGGTGACAGCCAGACGTGCTGTGTGTTGGTGTGCAGCTCCCTGCAAAGGGCTCCTTGAGTCACTCCTGTGAACCTCCTGCGCCTACAGCGGAAAGAAAAGTCAGAAACGATGCTTTTTGGAAAGAATGAATGGGCGAAGAGAGGCAGTGCTGTGTCCCAGTGAAGCTGCAGAGCTCTGTACCATTCCACTCTGTGTTGTGCACTGCTCCTTGGAGAATGGGGAAGCTGGAGGGGAGCGGAGGAGTTTAGGAAGTTCACAAGCAGAGCGTTTGTGTTGTTTCTGGCATGGAATTACTGGCTGTGGGCGTCCCTTCGTGGTGCCATCCACCTCCCACAGCCACAACCGACCCCACTGCTCCCATTAAGGGAGGCTCAGTCGGTTCCCAGCACAGCAAGGCTTGGGCTGTGGGTTGGGCCACAAGCAAGGTGCAGCCGGAGCCAGAACGAAGCTGATCAGTGTGGGATGGAGTGCTGGAGGCAGCTGCTGCTGAAATGAGGCACAGTGCTCTGCCTGCTGCTCGGGGCCACGTGGGATCCCCACAGAGAGCCGCAGTCCTCAGCTTTGTGCACAGATGTGAGCGCAGTCACTGGTGTCCCCTCCCTGGGCAGAACACGCCGCTGATGTCTGGTTGTGGCTGCGCTAATGCTGTGCGTTAGTCCTGAAAGAGAAAGGGGAAAGAGAGAGAAGGGTTTGTGTCTTCTCCTGACTATGCAAAACCGAATGAAACAGGAGACAGAGGCTACAAATCCACCCTGTCCCAGTGCAGCCCAAAGATAAAAGCGTTGAAATGCTCTGTAATTAGAGCCAGCCTCAAAGAAGACTTTCTATGACGGCAGTAGGTCAGATGCTCAGCTCTTACACCCTATGGCACAGAATGAAAGAATGCAATTTTTCAGCGGTGCTGGGGTTCTCATTTGGCTCAGCAGCAGCTCAGAGGTATTTTTCCTTTTGTAAGAAATAGGAACTGATTGTGAGATTCCGACTGCTTGGGTGGCACAGAAATTATATATATATTTAAATGATGGTCTTTTCTGGTTCCTATACCTTTCAACATAAGCACTGCCTTTTACAAAGAAACAAGGCAAAGTGAAAGCATCAGTTATATGCAGCATAGGCTCAAGCAGTTAATTAGTACGTGTTACTCTGAAAGTTACATCAGTTTGTAAGGTTGCTAAATGGCCCCCCAGGCCCTGCTGGGCTTAGCCAGGAGCACTCGAGCTCCTACCAGACTGCAGAGGCGAGTGCTCCCTGCGCAGGTCAGCGCTCAGCTTTGAGCGTCCTGCTGATTAAACTTGCTTTCGTGGAGACGGAGGCTCTGGGTTATATGGAGAGTAGAAAAGTCACAGGGCTTAGCTTAAGGGCTGATTTCTAATCTGGGATGACAGCATTCATAGCCTGTGCTATAACCACCTATTCAAGCTTATTTTTGACATTCTGCTTTTTCAGTGTTCAAACTGAAAACTCAGTTACCAGCGATCCCCAAACGCTTCCTGAAATCAAGAGCTGAACTCCTGAATGAGCAGCACGTGGCTGTCACCTCCTGCACCTCGCTGCTCAGAGCTCTGCAGCCTGATCTCCTGAAGCCCTGGGCAGCCACCCCACCTCTCTGCACCTCTTCTAGGTGACACTGGGGGCTGTGGCACTGAGGGATGTGGTCAGCGGGCATGGAGCAGGTAGGGTGTGGATTGGGGAGCTTACAGGAGCACAACACTGCTGGGCATCACTGGTGTTGTTTGCAGCTTTAAAAACATGGTTTCAAGACTTGAATTCAGGGATGAGGCAGAAAGAAATATGGCAGAACACAGACAGAGCCACTGGGTTGATGTTTGGGGAATGTCACAGTGCATGAGGGAGTTAGGGTAGGGGTTAGACTTATTAGGCTTTGCGTTTGGGTTAGAGTGAGCTCGGCCTTGCGTTTGAGTTAGGGTTGGGTTCATAACTTGCTCTGTTGGTAGTAATGTGATGCCAGACACGAGCTGCCAGCTTTTAGCTGTGTGTGTGATATTAAAGTCTGCGTGTAACGAGAGCCCTGAGGACAGCCCCAAACTGTGCTCTGCTCCTGCCCAACTGTGGGTACAGGGAACACACTGCTGGTCCTGGGATGTAGAGCGGGGGAGCCCAGAGCTGCAGGGCACGCACAATTTGGCAGGCTGGCTTGTGCAATCAGGGCAGTGCTCTTAAAGCAAAGTTTTCTGTAATTTCAAGATTAAATTTCTGATCTGTGTGCTTGTTACTTTGAATGGAAGAAGCTTACTGTAAATTGAAGCAGTTTACTGTTTACTGTATTGCAAAGCAATACGTGGGCAGGGCTGTTGATTAGTGCCCAGCTCCCAGCAACAGGTGGGACAGCAGAGCTTCTGGCACCACCTCAAGCATTCACTGCTGAAAACATTTAGGTCAGCACTGGCAATGTAGGATTTTGTTCTTCTGCTTTCACAAACAAATGAAAAAAAAAAAAAAGAAACAAGAAGAGATGGAATGGATCCATGCAAATTCAAAAGCAGCAGAAACGGAACTGGGCATTCACAGTTTCAAGTACTGGTAAGCTCTCTATCATAGAGGGAATGAAAGGCAATTTTTAAGCAGCTATTGTGTGTTCTGCTTTGAACTGATTGTTGTTAGTGTCTCATTAAAAGCAGCTGAGCTGCGTTATTCAATTTTCCATACTGGCCTGGAAGCCCACAGAGTGGCTGACTGCTCCGATGGGGGGCTGTTAAACTCCTGTGGCAGAAAGAAGGAACAGAATAAATAATAGGCAACTGATTTTTTCTGCCTTGGCCAGGTGAGCCAATGCTGAAGTGCACATAACCCCAGGGTATTGCATAGGAATTGCTTTTCTGATGCAGGGAGGTGCTGGAGTGGTGCACTGCGATTTTGTAGCTCAGTGTCACTGGATCTTTTGTCCACCTTAACTTCTAGACTTTCTTTCCATCTGTCTTTTTTTCCCTCCTTTGTATCCAACTTCGTCTTTTTTTCCTTCTCCTTCAGTTTCCTAACGTTCCATCTTCTCCATGCATAATATTTTTTCCCTTCTCGTTTTTCCCTTCTGGGTTTTTCTCTTTTGTGGTACAGGAGCACAGACTTCAAGATCAGTATCTCCCTTCACCATCTGCACCTTTCCATTTGCCTGTGTTTTCAGCATCAACTGAAATTCCCTTTGTATGGCTCCAGCTCGTGTGATTGAGGAGTTGCTGTATGATCAGGTAAGCTTGCAGACACAGCTGGTTTTATAACATCCTCCATAGTGCCCACAGAAGCAGAGCCCAGCAGCAGCTCCCACCAGGAGTTTGGGCCGTACAACCCGAGCAGTGTGGGTTTGTCCTGTTAAAAGATGTTGTAATACGTATGGATAACTTGAAGCAAAGAATACCTTCCATAGCAACTGCAGTGTTTGTAGCAGCAATAGCATACGGGAATGCCTCAGCGCTGCACTTCACTGATTGTCTGTACGGACGTGCTGCAAGGAGCTGAAGTAATGAAGCACTGCCTGGAAAAAATATATGCAAAGCCAAATTTTTACAACTAGCGTAAGCAACTTCTAAATGAAAACCTCTGAGAATCAAAAGGAAAGAGCTTGTCAGGCACTGCTAGCCCAAGCAGCATGCGCTAAGCCACGTCTTGTCGGGTTGTATGGCAGCCCTGCGCCCTGCGGGTGTGCAGCATCCCCACAGCAGCAGCTCAGCACTCACCCCGCTCAGAACACTGACAAAAACTCTGCATGGGGACAGCCAGGCACTGCTGGGCGACCAGGGATGTTTAGTCCAGAAGGAGAAGCAAGGGGGTTTCTCTGTGCTATGTCCCAGGTCTCGTTCCCTGAGCTCCAGCACTCCTGCCTGCTGCACAGAGCAGCGAGACCAACGGAAACCCCAGAGATCTTCTTAAAAGTTAATCTTGTTGTGGGATTAAATACTACAGAGCAGCATGTAAAAACGTAAGAAACAAGTTTTCAAGAACAAGCTTTCTTTATTTTGACGCCCTTCATTTTTTTCCCATTAATAAAGTTTGGCATGATTTTAAATCCAGGTCACAAGAGACCTTGAGCGGTCACCAAAGGCAGTGGTGGGATGCTGAAACCAGAGAGGAGGTGACTGGCAGTGGTAGGAGACAGACAGGATGCTGGGGAGGAAGCACCTTTTGAGAGCATTTTCTCAGCAGTAAGAGATTTGCAAAGGGTGGGGATTGTGGTAGAGTTATCTGGAAAACATCTCTAATTCCTATAATATAAAGCCCTGTGGATTTTTAGTTTTGTATAACACGTAGAAACTAATACAAATGTAAAGCGTGTTTTAATGGACGTCTTTTAGCATAAGTAATACTCAAGAAATATAACAAAACACAAAGTATTGAGTTACTTCCCAGAGTCCCATTGTTTTTATTCCACGTACAAAGAAACGAATGAGCCCTGAAGCAATTTGAGAGGTAAAGGTCAAATATTGGGTACGTATTCAGCGTTTTCAAACTAAGAAACTGTGGAGCTCTGCAGTCCCTTGTACACAAAGAGCTTGTCAGCACGAGTTGCTGAGAGTGCTGGGAGATCGGTGCTGGCAGCCCGGAGGAGACGAGCAGGAAGGGTTTGAGCCGAAAAGCACAAAGAAGAACAGAGTTAATCGTGGTCTGTAAAACCAACGTTTCTTGTATTTGCTCCTTTGGCATCGCAGTGCCACTCCAGAACAGGGGCCAACTGTTAACAGAGGCAAAGCCAACTTCATCCTTTGCAGGCTGACGAATGGTCATGTAAGTTACCAAATAACCCAAGACCTCAGGATTAAACTTCTCCAATTGTTTTCACATGATGCAACTTTAAATCTCTCTTTTGAACAGTATTAAATTTCCTTTCATTCCCATAAACTTCAGAAAAAGTTGACTGCTCTCACATTTCAGACTGTGACCCAGCTAACTTGCACTTTTCCCCTCTGCTAGTCTGGAGAACTGAATAATGAAATTCAGACAACGGTGACCAAATGTTGCTCCATGGAACTTTCCTTTTACAAAACAGATGAATGCTCCTGGGCTCCAAAACACTGCAGGGAACAAAACTTTCAAACCTTTATGGAAATAAAATAGTAAGCCTATGCAGTGACTTCATCTCCTTTATCAGATCAGAGACGTTTTCGCTGGAATCGAAACGGATTAGAAAAAACCCTCTAAGTAGAGGAAAAGAATTAAAATATCCCACTGAAGCCATTACTGAAACACTGCTTTATTTCAGAAAACACACCCACGTGAGTGAACGCTGAGTTTCACAGAGGAGAAGAACTGCCACATCATCATCGTTCAGATGGAAGGGTGCTGCGGTCAGTCAGGAAAATAAATATTTCAGTGTTTGTGATCAAAGGAAAAGATAAGGCCGTGTGCTGTGCGTTCTGATCCTGACACAGGGCTGTAGAAAATGACCACGGATATGTGGCCATGTGAGGGCTGGGATTTCTCTCTGGAGGTGCTCTCAGATCTCCTGGAAACCCGAGCAAGTTTGTCCATCCAGCACCTCGCCAGATGAGGCCCTTTATTTACACAGTGAGAAATGCCCACTGCGCTGCGGATTTGTTGCTGTGTGAGTGGGACTGCAGTCATTTAAGCCCGTTGCAAATGAAGCCACTAGAGTCAAAATAAAAGGAGCCAAAATATATAAATCCAGCAGGCAAAGTTTATGGGGGAACTAAACCAAACATTCAACATGGAGATTTAGTGCGGCCAAACCGTTGTAACTAACCAGGGTACCTGACATCATCTCGTGTCCTACGGGCACGGTCCCCATTTTAGTGGCCTGTTCCGCTCAGGCTGATATCAATAAAAGTTTTACATGCAAAATGAGTGGAAAATACGAGATGTTAGATAGTACAGTACAAGTCTATAAAGCTGATACCCCTGTCACGCTCCTGGCAACCCCAGCCAACTTCCATGCAAATTCCACCAATGGATCTTTACTGATTTTGTCTTAATTGAAAGCCTTAAAGGTGAATTGAAACGTTGTTGGAATAAAAACCTGTTTAAGATGCCAAATCCCTAACAAAATCCCAGTGCAGGCTTACAAGTAAATAAATTGTAAAGGCAAATGTGCAGGCCTACTTATTAACCTGTCAAACCACGAATTCTGGAATCTGTTCTTCTCTTGCAAAATTTGTGACATTCTTCTCCCCCTAATGACTGGAGTATTTTACTGCTTTGCAGGCCTGGCAACAAAGATGACATTGTTTAGGAAGGTGGTGAAATCTGCCTTGCTCATGGTGATGACTGGGGGACCACTTCCCCATTAATTTATGTGGAGAATTGGGAGGCGCAGTCCGGATGCCGTGGCCCTTTCCTGGCAGTGCTGCTCACTACACGTGGGGCTGCGTGAGGTTGTCTGATGTGGTGTGAAGTCGTGGTTGGAGGCAGCTGAGTGTGAGGGTGGTTCCGTTTTCCAAACTATTGCTTTAATGGCCTCCTTCCTGAATTCAGTTGTTGAGGACGAGGTGAAGTGATTCCTCTTGCAAAAAGCAAACAAGCTGTAAGAGAAATCGTGGGCCATTTGACAGGGCCTTCACCTGACGTATTTTGCACAAGTGTAACGTGGTCGTACCCAAACTAAACTCGATCCATTACCTTCTTTTGGAGACTCACTTCTCGGGGTAATGAGGAAATCAGAGCTGAAACAATTGCAGTGCTTTCCTACTGAAAGATCCCTACAAAGCTCAGCAACTGCAGTGTAAATCACCAGCTGTGGGACTTGGAAGCATCACTGCTGCATGCTGCTCCTGTTGCCTGTCCTGCTCTGCACCTTGTCTGGTTGTTGAATTAATGCTTTGGAAGGGACACTGAATCTGATGAAATGCGGGGTGTCAGCATGCAGTCATGAAAATAATAACAGCATAAATAATGCATAATAAGCATCCCCATGTTTGCATGTGTTATTAAGAAGTCACTGGTGTTTGTGTCCCATTCTATCACCCTTGTTCTTCCAGAAGGGTAACATTACATGTTTCGGAGCTATGTAACTCAAGAATATAAAGAACAGAGTCCTTCTGCTATATATATAAAATTCCAACGTAGTACACATATGAAAGGCAAAGAATTGTGGTCTGTTTCAAGGCTTTTGCCTTTATCTTTTCCATTGCCTGCTGCCAATTTTCAAAGTGCTCCCAGATCACAGCCCAAGCTAGATTATCTGAACAAGAGCTCGGCCTCCCAGTCCTCCCTGCTGCCACTCCGCAGGGATGCAGCCTGTCCTCTGAGCCCAGCAGTGCTCTCTCCCACTGCCACCCATGGCTCCCCAGTCCTTTGCTTTCCTCTTCAGGCAGAGACATTTCAGCTTGAGAAGAAAGCAGAGCTGTGCACACTGGCACCAGCACACCTACCTACTCTTGGCTTTATTGGTCCCCAAACGAAAGGAGGCCCCAGAGGGGCTGTGCTTCCCCCCTCCTACAGACACACTGAAATATGTCATTATTTGGACTGCACTCACTCCAGATAGCTCAGCTGGGAAATGCAGGATGTGCTCACTGAGACAACGTCAGCACTGCTGTCTGACACAATTCCCACCCTCAAGAATTGTCAGCATAAGCACAGAGATTTGCTCGTCTCCAGTACTCTGTAAGTACCTCCCATTGCTGTTTCTTACACCATTTAAAGATCAGTGGTGAACTCACATTTAAATGGGGACTTTCCATGTGTGCGTGGATTTTAGGAATCTGTGCAGAGCCTGGCCTTGTCTTCAGCTTCCTCTCTAGAAGCCTCACTGGGCTCTGATTCTAGTTGCATTTCAAGTGGGCAGAGGATGATTGTTATGGCCTCGGTGGTTGAAATGAGAAAGATCTGGAATAGATTAATGGGAGTATGAGAGATGGAAAGGAAAACAAGAACAAGACACAATACTTCGGAACACACACTGTCGATTCTCTCTCTTAGCTTGCTGTACTTCTGACACTTCTCTTAGAATATTTTGCTTATCATCCTCTTGTTAAGTTTATTGTACTTACAAATCATTCCCAGACAGCCAGCTCCTTAGATATCTTTTCATTAAGAAAAAAAAAAAAAAAAAAAGAAGGTTTAGTGTGTAATACACTCTCCCTGCAGGAACCAATTCCTCAGTGATGCTGACTACAAGCCTCTCCTTGTTTTAAAACACACAGCCATGCATCAGGCAGCGGGCTCCTCTCCCCAGAGCCACCTCCTGAGCCTCTATCTGTGCATTGCATCTCTGCAGCATCCTGCAAACCACGTAGGAGAAACTGCCTCTAATTTGTCCGCCCATCTCACAGTGTGTCATTACCTTGCCCACTTCTTGCCATCAGACCCTTACAAATACTCTGCATTATTCTTTTTGGGGTGTTCAGGGCTGTATCCGCTCTGGTTCCTTTGTTTAATGTATTTTTAGTTCTTCCACTGCGGTATGACAGAGTGCAGCATGTTCAAGGAAAAGTAGGGAGAATATTTGTATTGATTTCAAAATGCTGCAGATTAAGAGCAGATGTAGTATGTATTCCCCAAACGTATGTTTTAACTTTCATTTATGTGCTGTGCTGAACAGTCTTCAAGCCAGGAAGTGATTTATATTTGCTAATTGCATGCACTTTGGTAGATTTGTAGCTAAAAATAAGTGGTTTTTTTTTTAATTACAAACGATTTATCCTTTCACAGTGCCTGTATCTAACATCTAGAAGCAAACCAAAGGCGTGGGGAATCTATCTGCAGTCTCCTGATCTGCCATAGACTTCTGTGGTGTCCCTAGGCTCTGGCCATAGGTTATCCCTGGGTCCACGCATCCCCAGCAGCTGTGGGGACTGGCCCACGAGGCTGAGCTGGAGGAACACTGCTCTCTTTTGTCCCATCAGAGGATGTTTTCCACATGATCGGTGGCTGAGTGGACTTGCTGCGATGAGCATATGGAAAGCAGAGATTTGTTTATTGTGGTCAACTTGCTGTTAGTTAGATCAGCTCAGAAATAACTTGAAACGTCACCCTAGAGGGCCAGGGCGAGTGAGCCCAGGATGGTGTTGCAGAAATCCTATCCCAGCTGTACAGCCTGACCTTCTCACTGACATTTCCTCTGTAACTACATGGTAAGTGTTGGGGCCCTGAGGGCTCTTACGGGTCTTGATGGCCCTGCCTGGGCTTACCTGGGGCCTGCCCCACACCCCATTGCTTAGGGATTCTGTTTGCGCCCAGCCCCTATCTGTGCTATTCGCAGAATACTTGTCTGTAAGGTTACCTCAGCTATGACTGGTTGTGGGCCCTGCTGGTTTCTGAAGGGAATTCCCTGCTTGACATCAAACCTCTCTTCCCACTACAGACCTGTCTGACTCGACCATCATCGCTGGACCTGGCCCTCACCTGTGGCACACTCTGTTCCCTGTCCTTTAAGGAGCAAGGATAAGTGCTAACGTTCTAAAGAACCACCCAGAAAGGTGGGGCGAGGTCCTAAACAGGGATAAACTTCTCTGCTCTAAGGAGGTGACTGTCAGCTTAGCTCTTGAACCATCTCAGCTCCTGGTTCTTTGTGTCAGAAGCCAATTGAGAGGCCTCCATCTCCTTCCTAACACACAGCCAGGCGCTTACCTGGGTTTGGTCCTCCTGGGGCTCTGTTAGTGTCTGAGGAGAAACACGAGATTCATATGGCACAAAGCAAACCTGATTCAGCAGGAAACAAGGAGAAAATTCTTACAATCCTCTCCTTGTTCCCACCCTGCTTATTAACTTCTTGTTGAACAGATTCTGACTTCCAAAATCCTAACCTAAGAGTCCTGGGTACGTGAGCGTTCTGAACGGAGAGCAGCTGTCACTGGTGGTTCGCTGGCAGCGCCGCTCTGCCCACAGCCGTGGCACAACGGACGGCAGCGGCGCTCGGGGCGGCAGAGGAGGCGGACCTTGCAGACAAGGAGTGTGTAAAATGTTGGTTTCACTGTGGCAGGGAGGGGTGAAAAGAGTTCCTCAGGTGCCAGGTGGGTTTCTGAGCTCCTGACTGACAGGAAGAAGAGATGCACAGCGAGTTTTAAGCTCGCTGAGGGGAAAATTAGAAACCTCTCGGCGTTGTGTGTGAAGGGCAGCTGAGAGGTCACTTCCCTGGACCGCGAGCTCGTGGTTTCTTTGCCTCATTTCAATGGAAATGATCTTAAAAGTAAAGCGGTGCAGCCAAAGAGCTCAGCAGGGTACGCTCTGGGAAGCTCTGGCGCACAGGGCAGGCAGAGGCAGAGGCAGAGGCAGAGGCAGAGGCAGAGGCAGAGACGATCGAAGAGGGGCGATTCCAGCCCTCCCAAAAACCCGCTCCCCTCAGAGCCCCGACGGCAGAGCGGGGCAAAATGGCGCCCGGCGGCGCGAAGCGAGCGCCTCCCCGGGGCCGCGGCGCGCGGGAGGCGGCGCGCGGGCCGACCGGCAGGGGGCGCTGCAGGGCCGGGCCGCGCGGGGGCTCCGCCGGGGCTGGGCCGGGCTGCGCGCGGAGCGGAGCGGGCGGAAAGTGACAAGTGAGGGCTGAGGCGGCCGCCCGCGCCGCCTTCCCCGCCCGCCGGCAGAGCGCAGCCCCGAGGGCGAGGCGCGGGACGGACGGAGGAGAGAGGAGAGAAGAGGAGAGGAGAGGCGGCCCCGCGGCGCTGCGCGGGCCGGGCCGGGACGCTGCGCGGTGGATGTCGGAGTAACGCGGCGTCGGCTCAGGAATGCGGCAGCCGCCCCGGCCGGGCGGCGGGGACGGGAGGCTCCTGCTGCTCCCGCTGCTGCTGCTGCTGCTGCTGCGTGCGGGGAGCCGGGCCGAGCCGGCGGACACCACGCCAGGTAAGAGGGCGGCCGCCAGGGGAGCGGGCTGCGCTGAGCGCGGACGGGGCGCCGGAGAGCGAGGGCTGCGCTGCGATGTATTGCGATGCATTGCGATGCGCTGCGCTGTATTGCGCTGCGCTGCGCTGCGCTGACCGAGCGCGGGGCGATGAGCTCCGGGCTGCTCCGAAACTCCGCCGGGCTCCGGGGCGCAGAGCGCGGCACCGCGGGGAGCTTCTGTGGGGCGATGCTTCGCCGTGCCGTGAACTTCGTCAGCGTGTTTGTTTGAAAGAGCGGCGTCGCGGAACGCCCAGCCGCTTTGCTTTGAGGGCGCGTTCCTCGTCCCTCTGCTTTACCGAGGGGGGATTTCAGACCTATGGGGCTGCGCGCTGTGCTGGGCGGAGCGGCGCTGGGGAGAGAACGGAGAGGAGAGGTCGGGCTGTGCGGGGCTGAAGTGCGGGGCTGCTCGGGGCTGGAGGAGCTGCGCGGTGCTGGGCCGAGCGTTGGGGCTCGGAGCGCTCCGGCGCAGCTCGGCGGGATGGAAACGTCAAATGCGGCTTTCCGGCGTCTCCGAGGAATGCCGAGCGCGTTTAAGCGAGAGCCGGTGGAAGAGACAGGGCTGTTTGTGCAGGCGGTGCGGCTCCGGCGGTGCCTATAGCGAGCGGGGGGCTTTTTTCCCCTCTTACTGCTTCAGTGTAAGTTCGGAACGTTTGTGTTGTGCTATGGAGTCTTACGGGCTCCTGGAGCCTGGAGGGAAAGGAAACCCCACAACCATTCACTACTGGGAGGATCTTTCAAAGTAACTTCACTTTAATGTGCCGATGGAAATTCATGATTACTAATACAGTCATTAGCATACAATTATTTTCCACACTGAAGTATTTCATAAGTGACGTCTTTGGCAAAAAATTACAATATCGACTCATGGGAGGATCAAGGGATTATATGTTTTTGATGGACACATGTCCGTGTGGCCATGTTACAGCCCTACATGGTTTCCCTCTCCCCCCCCTCCCCCCAGATATTTAAGGTCTAGGCTTTGTAGAAGAATTGGGGTAATTAATGAAACATCTGAAATGCCAATTAAAAAAAAGCACCAAAGTAGAAAGCACTGTGCAAGTTTCTTTAAGGTAATTGTAGGGTCCAGGGG